CCCCCCCCCCAGCCTCCCCATTTCTACGCGTGCGCCAACCACTCCATTTCCGTGCGCACCTATATCCACTCAAAATCAAGCTAAGCTCCTACGACTCGGCACCACCACCTTTCACCACCTACCACCTACCCACCTTGACTTTTTTCTGCTCTCGATCCTCCCTTCATAACCTCGTTGCGAGCCATGTGAGTTACCCAATCCGATCCACATCTGCACACCCGCCTCGCACTTTCCCTGCTGCCCACCCTTCTCACCCCAATGTCACCCACGCCTCGGCTGCCTTCGCACACGGCACCCAGCTGCTGACCGCCCGCCCCAAAAGTCTTCCTCCTGCTCTTCGTCGCCACCCTGGTGGTGACGCTTCAACTTGTCGACCATTCCAGCTCTGCGTGCCGAGGACGTGACCTCCCGCAACCTGACCGAGCCGGCACCGCAACGTCACGACCGTCACGAACCTTACGACCACCACATCACCGCTGAACAGCAGCGTCAGCAGTACACCCTTCCTCGCACTCCCACCCCACACCTTCAAGAGCGAGACCCAAGATCTACTCCGTCTTCTGGTCACAGAGGGCTTCGGCGCACCGCGAGGTTTGACGCCACCCCGAGCCCTAGGCCCGAACAACCGTCTCTACGCCAGATCCACCTCGAGGCTGTGTCTGTGGGAATCAGCCCTGTTGCTCTCGTCGCAACAGCCGGCAGTCCTCTCGCCGCCGTCTCCAAGGGCAAGGGCAAGGAACTCGAGCCCCCGGCGGAGCTTGCCGTGCCTTCTGCCCGGCCGCGCCAGCTGAGAAGGCAACTCTCGCAGGATCTAAGCGACGATCTCGACGCGGAGTCTACCGTCCCAACACAGTTCCCTCGCCACCGATTCCCTCCGTATCCTGCGCAGCAGGAGTCCACCGCACACCCAGCTGTCCGTATCTCCAAGCACACTCATAGCGCCATCCTCTGGACGCTGGAGGAAGCCCTGCGACAGCCGAACCCCTTTACCCCGGACTTGGACGAGGAAAGCGCGTCCATGGCAGAGCTTATGCGGGGAGGCGGCGCCGGCGTTCCGCCCGTGTCCAATGGCCAGCCTACTCAATCATCCCGCCCCATCGCGGCGCCGCCTGCGCCCACAGGGTCGCCTGCCGGGATCAGGGGACCGCGCATGATTATGAGGGATCGCATGGAGCGCGAAGCTCGCCAGAGGGCGGAGAGGGAGCAGATTGCGAAACTGGAGATGGAGCAGCAGCGTGAGGAGAGAGAGCAGGAGCTTCAAAAAGAACGCGAGCGGGAGCGGGAGCGGGAGCGCAGGGCTGCCGCTCACTCCGCTGCTGGCGCTGCTGATATACCTACACAAACCCTGGACCCGGCCGTCCAGCGTCGACAACGACGAGCGGCCGAGGCGCAAGCCCAGGCCCAGGCCCAGGCGCATCACGCGCAGGGGTCCTCGCTGCCGCCCCAGGCTCCACAGTCTAGGCCTCCGAGGACGGCACAAACTACAGGCCCAAGCTTCTCGGGTGCTCCCCCAACAGCTGGCATGACCAGCGGGCCGCCTGGAGCTGAGGGAGTGCAGGGCGCCACGGCCGGAGAGTCTTCCTCGGGAGGCGCAGGACGACCAAGAAACTCATTTCCCCACGCATTTGAGCGCTGGGAGGCCTTGTCGGCGCACTGGGAGGGTCTCACAAGCTTCTGGATCCGGCGACTGCAGCAACATTCCGACGAAATCGACCGTGATCCGCTGTCCCAGCAGCTGTCACGGCAGGTGACGGACTTGTCGGCTGCGGGAGCCAACCTTTTCCACGCTGTCGTTGAGCTGCAGCGGCTGCGCGCCAGCTCGGAGCGCAAGTTCCAGCGCTGGTTCTTCGACACCCGAGCGGAACTGGAGCGAAACCAGGAGATCAACGCGATGCTGGCTGCACAGCTCGAGGAGGAGCGTAGAGGTCGCACTGATGCTATCCGCGATGCTGTCGACCACGAGCGCGCCAACTCCAAGACGCAGCGACAACTGGCCGAGATGCGCAAGGAGCTGCTCATCTCCAAGGAAGAGGCTCGTCGGGCGTGGGAGGAGCTTGGCCGCCGTGAGGAGCTCGAGCGGGAGACAATAAATGCGCTCCAAGCCGGCCAGCCCGCGCACATTGCCGGAATGAACGTAGTTTCTATGGTGCACGGGATACCATCCCGCCATACGAGCACCCGCGACCAGCCCCAGCAGCAACAACCCGACTACACTGGCGCTGGCTACGGCGAGAGCCCCAGCAGACAAGCATCTTCCGCTGGCGCTGTTCCGGCAACCAACGGCGGCGGTGATTACTACCAGCGCCCCGCAGTGACAGTCCACGAGCAATCGAGCTACGGCGGCGCAGGGTCAGAGGGCGGTTTCAGCGAAGGTGAGTACGCAATTGACGCCCACGGCAGCTTCATTCGCGACTCGATGGGGAACAAGATCCCCTTTCGCGACGGCTCTCCGGCGGGTGAATCTGACCCGGGCGCAGAGGACTATCTAGCACCTTTGTCGCACGCCGGCGGCGTCCCTCCGGCCACAACGGCAGCCTATCCACCTCAGCAGCAGACTGCAATGCAGCAACCCCAACAGCAGCAGCAGGCACAGCAGTGGGCTGATACCCCTGCTGGCGCTCTGGAACAGCAGAACATCCAGAGCCCGGATCAGACCAACCAGAACTATGCAGCGCCTGGATGGGAGACGGTGCCTCGTCATCGTCACCCGACTCGCCTCAGCGTCATAGAAGAGGATGAACGCAGCCGGACGTCGGCAAGTATCAGTCAAGTGAGCCGGCCGTGACTCGCCTCGGGCTGAGACGGCACAATGCAGCACACATGGCTCCATGCACCCTGGATGCGCGTCTCGTGCTCAACCGGCAACGCAACCCTCGACTTAACAAACCGCTCATGGCTCCTCAGTGGCGCGACTAGGTTCAGTCATCTTCCTGCCGACTGTCGCCGACTGCCTTAGCCTTTCGGCTTCCAAAAGCCGCTCTAGCTGTCTCATCCATTTCGTTTCCTTCCATCACAGCCACCCCATGTCTATATGGCATTTTAGCTAGCTAATATTTCTGACCCACCCCCACTCCCTAATCCCTACGGACAAGATCGGACATAATTACTCGGCGGTACACATCCCTTGGTCCTGTCTGCCCTGGGGGAGAGGGAGGCCTGGTGTCTGTTTCCATTCGCCCCTAGCTTGGCAGACCAATCTCCTCGTCTTTCACTTCCTCGATTTTCTTTTTCGACGTTGGCCTCCGAAGCTGATGAGGCTTTGCTTCCAAGGAGCCGGAAGTTTCTTAAGCTGCATACCTAGTATTTTTCTTTCCCTCCACTGGCGTGGCGTTGATGATCGCGGGCAAAGAGGGGCAGTTGACTGGCATCTAATGACTTTCTCTCTCTTTTCCTTTTGACTTTTTCCATGATAATTTTCTTTTGGTTTTTCATGCTACTTGTTGAGATTTGCACAAATCCGTCTGTGTCATTATTTCGGTTGCTCTCCTCTTGTCCCTCGGCTTCTGCCGGTTCCTCTTCCTTTCTTGATTTCCGCCTCAACCCTCTATTCCATAACTTCGTCGCCGGCGCATGGCCGCGTTTTTGGGATTTCTGGTTTAGGACGGGCAGCGGCATGCGCTGCATGGTTGGTGACAGGATACACGGAGACAGCCGTTGTTTTATTTTATCCACGCTTATTCTGGCATTTGCCTTGCAATGGGTTTCTCCCGGGCTCTTTTAAATCACCCACCTGCATATCTCACGACACGAATCGAAATTGCCCCTCTGACCATAAGTCTAGCATAGTCTGGGAATTGAGGGAAGATTCGAACATCCGTGCCATCATAATGTGGTGTGATTTGCTGTCATGAGGACACATGTCTGGGACCTGTCCCTGTGATTTCCGTTCTCTCTTGGCCCCTGGGAGCCTCAGCAGAGACAATGCCCATAGCTCAGGGCTTAGCCTCGGGGGCAATGCTCGCCATGGATGCTTCTGGCCTTGGCTCGTACTCTCGTCATACTTCGGTCCTCATTTTGAAAGTCTGTCTGGGGTGGGATATCAGTAGGTTCCATATCGCAAGCCTTGACCGTTGAGCGCACGACACCTCCAGACCTGCTGCGGTCTAGGCAAAAGTTCTTTTCTTGGGGCTATCAAACCTTGGAGGCTCAAAAGTGCCGATGGAAATCATCAGCCTGTATTCAACATGAATGGGCGTGTGTATTTACCGGTCAAAGAATATGAACGTGGATGCGTCCCTAAGTAATGACTGCCAACCGCCGCTATGGAATTCTCCAACACCTAGAGAGCAAATCCAGAAGCTTTTGAAGGGCGCCCGCGAGCCTTGGATGCCAAGTCAGGACACTAATGTATCTGCGGATTACCGCGCCCCGCCATCCCGGTCGATCCTACTGATCCACCATGTCCTCATCCTTTCCTTTGTCCTTGCCCTGGCCGTCTTTACCCTCGGTCCTGCCATCGCTGTCATCCTCGCCGTCGTCGCTGTCGAGACGGGTGACGGAGCTCGGCTCGACCCGCCTGCGATAGAAGCGCACGGCCGCGTTCTTGCGCACGCGCGTCTCCATGTCCAGCTTGACCTTCGCCTCGGCGGCGAGCTCCTTGAGCAGGAAGTGCACGTGGCGCGTGTGTATGGCGTACCAGTTAGTGTGCGGCTTGCACCGGCGCCGCTCGCACATGTACGTCTTGGTCACCGTGGCCGGGTGCTCCCAGGGGCCCAGGTACGAGGTGGACGATGAGACCAGCAGGGCGCTGGCGGCCGCAGCCGCCGCGGCCTCCTCGCTGCCATTATCCTCGTCTACGGGAGGCGGCACGTAAGGGCCGCTTTCGAGCTTGCCGGTCTTGAAGGCCACCTCGCCGGCGGGCGAGCGGAGGAAGGCAGCGAACTGGGCCTGCACGCCAACCGTGTCGATAGCGGTGTCGTAGCCGCAGCCGTCGGATTCGAGGCGCCCCGAGGTGATGGCATCGCGGCGCTGGGCAGCTGCAATCTCCATGAGCTGAAGCATCTTGCGGCACAAAACCACCTCCTCGGCCAAGCCGCGGCGTTCGGCCGACGATCGGGCAAGGAGGTCGGCCTCCTCTGTGGTCAAGACGTCCTTGGGGTCATGCGTGTCCCAGAAGTCTGCAGTCACGTCTGTGCAGGGCAGGAGCAGCATTTGCCGCACATGTCAGAAGATGGCATATACACTTGGTTGAGGTAGAGAGTCTCACCAAACGGCTTCTGCCCAACAAACCAGCCATTCCCAGGCGTATCACCACTTGAAGGCCTGCGGTTGCCAGAGCTGGTGAGCAGGGACATGAACTCGGACTGGGTGAGCCCCCTGCCGTCGGCGCCCTCGCTCCTGGGGAGGGTGCTGACCAGCTGCTCCCACCAGACGTTGCAGTGCTCCTGGGAGCAGAAGACGCTGTGGGGCACCGCGGGGCCACTCTGCTTCTGCTGGGCGGCAGCGGCCTTGGGGGCCTTGGGGTCGATGACGCGGGCGGGCTGGCGGCACCCCTTGAGGGCGCACGTCTTCTTGTAGCGGGTGACGAGACGGGCGCGGCCGTCGGCGGGCTTGTTGACGGTACAGTTTGGGCAGATGTAGGCCTGGATTAGGGTCTCGCCGATGTCCTTTGTGACGTTGACGCACTCGCCGTGGAACCAGTCCTCGCAGGCCTCACACGAGATCATCCAGCGGTGGTCGTCTGGGCCACGGCACAGGCAATACGGGCCGTGGTCCGACTCGGAGTCGTCGTCGGAGCCGCTATCGGACTCGCCCGAGCCGCTGCCATCGCCGTCCGTCTCCTTCTTGGCCTTGGGCTTCTTACCGCCAGCCCTGGGCCCGGAGGCGCCTTTCTTGGCGCTCTTTGGTCCCTTGGGGGCAGCGCGCTTCGGGGCCTTGACGGTGGTGGCGGTGCCCTTCTTTTTCTTTTTTGCGGCAGACGGCGGCATGGCTGCTGCTGGGAGCACTGCTGATGTTGCTGTTGCTGTTACTGTCGAGGACGTGGTGCGGTCGCCGCCCGCGCTAGAGGGCAGCGGCAGTGTTTGCTCAGCAGCCGCGTTTGCTGCGTCGTCGGCACTTGCGGTTGGCTCGCCACCTGCCCCAACGCTGGGGCCAGGTGCGCCTTCATCTGGAAGGTTAGGGCTGGCGGTTGCGGCCGCCTTGTTTGCATCCGCAGGCGCACCGCCGCCTGCTTTCGCCTCTGTTGTTGCCATTGCGTCCTCGATTCAACCTCCCGTCTGCTGTGGCGAGAAATACGCATCTAAAAAGGACATGGGAAGCCGCTGGAGCCAGATGAGAACTACAGCAGCTTGTGAAGCATCAAAGTGTTGCAGCTATTCAAACACCAAAACACCCTCCCACCAAGGCGTCCGCCCAGAAGTAGCAACGTAAAATGCCTGGCCGTTCCTTGACCATCCCTTGGGGGCAGATTGGGCAGTTGTATGCATGGCTCCTGCATCCCCTGACACCCTGCCCTCGTTCCGATCTTCGTCGTCTGTGTGGACACAGCCCCACCCACACTTAGTCATAGCTCCGTTCCGCATCCAAGTAGTGTGACGTCTTGGGGCTCATTTTTTCCATCATCGTTTTCACTCGTCGTCGCAGCTCGAGCTTCTCGCCAAACCGGATTCGACCCGTCAACTGCAGACACCGGACCCGGACACCCCAGAGGAAGCACTGCAAACACGAAACTAATGAGCCGCTCACTTAGAACCCTGCCCTTACGGTCCGGCCTGGACTCGCTGCTCCTCAATGGCTCGAGACAGCAGCTCCGCCGCCTAGCCTCCTCCGCCGCGACGACTAGCTCCGCACGGTCCGGCAGCCGCCTCGGCGCCGCCTCCCCCCGCCGTCCCGCCCTTACGCCCGCCAGACTTGCGCCCCAGCTGAGGCAACCTGCCGGCGAGAGGAGGGGGTTTAAGACGGTCGAGGAGGCCAAGAGCAGATATCGCAGCGGGGTAATTTGAAACCCACCACGCTTCCCCTTGCTCCCCCCCGTTCGCGCTCCCCGGGCGCATACTCTAGCGGGCCATCAAGCTGACGCGCAGCCAACCAAACAGCCTTTCTCCTGGAAGGCAGGCCTTCTCTTCGTCGTCACCGCCGGCGGTCTGGTCTGGTACTTTGACCACGAGAAGGAACGCATGCGCAAGAAGCGCATCGCTGAATCGACCAAGGGCATCGGCAAGCCCAAGATCGGCGGCGACTTCTCTCTGATCGACCAGCACGGCCGGCCCTTCTCCTCGGCCGACCTGCGCGGCCGCTACTCGCTCGTATACTTTGGCTTCTCGCACTGCCCGGACATCTGCCCCGAGGAGCTGGACAAGATGGCCGCCATGTTCGACTTGGTCCAGGCTGCCAAGCCCGGCGCCCTCGTTCCCGTCTTCGTCACCTGCGACCCGGCCCGCGACACTCCCAAGGTCCTCAAGGATTACCTGGCCGAGTTCCACGAGGGCTTCGTCGGCCTGACGGGCACCTACGACCAGATCAAGGCCATGTGCAAGGCCTACCGTGTCTACTTCAGCACCCCCACCGACGTCAAGCCCGGCCAGGACTACCTGGTGGACCATAGCATATACTTTTACCTGATGGATCCTCAGGGTGACTTTGTCGAGGCCCTCGGGAGGCAGCACTCGCCCGAGCAGGCCGCCAAGATAATTGTCGATCACATCAAGGAGTACAAGGGTGAGCTCAGATCATGAGTGCCCCGCTTCGATGTGAGCATGCGCGAATCGATCCCAATGCGACAGAGGGAATCCAAAAGAAAAAAAAGATATGGAAGCAAGCCTATCATCACAGCTATATAAGGGCGCTTGCGTCTTGGACCATGCAGCAAATGGCCAACCAAAAATAGAGCATTTACGAGCGCCCCTGCACATCCTTTTAAGGGGGTGTATACTGTATATATACCTATTCTCTCCAAATATCCATGTACCAATATCTCTGCTGTATTTGCTGCTAAACACTCTGTCTAATGTCCATGGTCCAGAAAGTGTACAGTCCATGTGCCAAGAGCAAAGGCGATGCAGACTGTCCGACATGTTAATAATCCACAAGCTTCAGCTGCGTTCTCAGCCCCTCGGGAAGGTCCTCCAGCTTCACGAGCCCCATCAGAACGCAGTCACCCAGAAAGAAGAGAGCACGGTCACGGGTGTAGGCGAGGTAATCGAACTCGTCACCCTCGCCCGAGTCCTCCTCTCGTGCCGCGACTGCACTTGCAACTTCGGCAGCCGCAGCCTCGGTAACGCTGGCGCCTTCTCCACCCGATGCCGAGGTGGCCGCAGCTTCGGCGGCAGGAGAAGCGACGTCGGTGGCCCCGCTGCTGGCGACTGCGGTTCCATTTTGCGCGTCCGCATCCCCCTGCGTCTTGGCCTCTTCCTTCTCCTTCTCCTTCTTTTCCCGCGCGATCTCTTCGGCCAAGTCGGGCAGCTTCGCCTGCACGATGCCCCAAGCGACCCACTGGGCACTGTTGGCCGGCCTCCATAGGCGCGCCTCTTCGAGTAGCGCGTTCACTTGCGCCTCGGCGGCCTCCTCGCGGCGCTTCTCCTCCTCCTTCCAACCGCCAGGGGGCACCCTAGCGTCGAGCATGAACTCAACTATCGAGCTAGACGAGGCATTCGAGTGCTGCAGCGCGCTCAGCATAACCGGCGGCGTCGACGCAGGACCTACCACGGGGGTGGTCACGCGCGACGATGACGCTCCGCCTTTGTGGTCTACGTAGGCGCGCACGAAACGCCGCTGTTGCTCTAGCGTTGGGTACATGGCGGTGTTGCAGGCGAAAGACGCCACGGCGTCGTGATAGTTGTACGCCCATTCGGTGAAGTGGTTGGCGAACTCAAGTCCGGGCAGGTTCGCAGCCGCGTACTCAAAGTCGATCACTACCAACTGTTTGTGCTCATTGGCCGGTTGCAGCAGCGGAGACTTTTCGTCGTCGGGCCGGACGCGGAGAATGTTTCCATATTGCGTCTGCGCCGTGTCAGTTAGCCCTGACCGATGAGTTGATAAAGGAATACGGAAGTGCCTATCACTTACGTCATTGTGCGCAAACACAAGCTTCTCACGAATCTTTTTGGGCTGACCGTAGTATTCGTTGAGGTGCTTTCGGTACCGATCAACGAGGCCCCTAAAGACGGACCACTCGACACCGCACACGAATCCCGTCTGAGCCGCGTCCCCACCGGCTATGACCTTGTGGTCCAAAAACATGACTGTCCTCTCGACGGTGTCGAGCCAGTTGTCCCAGTTGACCCACACGTTGGGCCCGTCGCCAAGCTCCTGTTCCAACAGGTCAATGCCGTCGTGGAGTTCGCGCATACGCTTGGCAATCATGCGCGATGTCTCGGGCTCACGCAGGTTCGGGGGCGTCAGAGCGGTAGCGTTGAGGTACTGCTCAAACCGGCCATTGGTGAAGGTTCCTAGCAGTCGGGGGCCAATCTTCTTGCGCGCCAGCCGCTGGAGCACCGAAAGCTCCTTCTCTCGGTCAATCAGCTGCTCGACGTTGGGACCGTAAATGCGCAGTAGCAGCTTGGGCGGCACTTTACGCCCCTCGACTGCTGCCGCCGCCACAACGTCAGCGGGCGGGGAGACAACATAAACGGCGTTGGTCAGGGCGCCGCTGAGTCTCTCGACGCCAACCTGGTCGCCGCTTTCTAGCGGCACGCGCCGCCAGCCCTTGAGCCTCAGGGTGTGCGCCAACCGGATGATCTCGCTCTTGAAAACAAGCCAGGCGTGTTTGCTCTCCTCGCGTTTCGACGGCGCCGACCCGGCAACGACTGGGGTCATCGGCTCCGAGGCGGATCCCGGCTTGCCGCCTGAATAGCTCAGCGTCTTTGAGTTGTCTAAGACGGCCTCACAGCTAGGGACTAAAACATCGCCATCGACATAGTCCGTATCCGAGGAGGCAGCTCGGTAGAGCTGGAGAGACGACCTGCTCTTCTTGAAGCGCCCAGACTGTTTCCTGCCCGGTCGCTGCTGCCCAGATGTCACGTCAATCGGGTCGAGCCCCAGAGCGGACATGCTCTCATCAACGATGCGCTGCAAGCGGTCTAGCGAGACCTCACTGGACTGAGAGTCAATAGAGCCCGACCTCGGCCGACGACTCAGCACGGGCTTGGTCGATGCGCTGTCCCCGCTAGCCTTGCTAGGAGGAGACTTGGACTTGCGGCGCCCGGTAGCCCTCTTCTTCTTCTTGGCTGCCTTTTTGTCCTTCTCGCTTTGTAGCCACTCGGCCACCTGCGAGATCAACTTTTGGCTGGCCCTGTCAATGCGGTGACCATGGTGGTGGTGATGATTGTGACCGTGGTGAGAGTGGTGGCTTTGCTGTGGCTGACTTCCATGACGGCTTGCTTCGTCGGGTGTTTGGATCGGAGATGCGGTAGAGCTCGCGGTGCTGTTGGGAATCTCGACACCGGCATTGTTGAACGAGGTCCGCGGGGATGTTGCAGGCAGACGGGGGGAGGTTGCAGGCAGACGGCCACTCAGTCTTCTCGTCCGCCCGGCCGTGTGTTGCTTCCTGCCCGACCCATCTTCCGGGGACTGGGCCACCGGCTGCGACATGGCCTCCGGTTCGGCAATTTGAACAGCTAGGAGCAAGGAGGGTGTGCTGGTCAGCAAAGGGCAGGTTGGCGGCTCTCAAAACAGGCGAGCCCCGGGCGTTGCAGTGGATATATAGCAGGATAAGATGGATGCAGTGCTAAGGATCTGCAGCGGTCTAATAGTGAACAGGCCGGAATCCCACCGCTTGCGCACCAACTGGTCGTGTGACTGCGTTTACGCACTAACAAAGTGTGGCGCCGTTTTCCTGTTTAGGGAGGCAGCAGCTGGAAGTTCGGCTGGGCTACCACATGCACCACTCGGTGTGGGAAAATACACGGGAGCCCCCAGGCAGCAGCACCCCTATACGTACCAGCCTCGCTTGTCTGGCTGCGGCGTGTGGGATCCGTGGCTAGGCTTCGATTAGGCCACGAGGGCGCGAGATTGAACGAAACGGGCGGAAGGGCGATACGGAGCGGACCAAGGGTCCAGATAAAGGCAGACAGGACAAACCTTTGACAGCTCCGCTCAAGGGCGATCTTTCAGGGTCGTCATCGTTCTTGAGCGCAGACTTCCTCGGCTGTGCCACCGCCGGCGACGTTGGGGTTGACATGGCGTGCAAGCGGTTGTTGGGTGATAGCGCGTGACGTGTTTCCTTGATCGGACGAAACCCGCGTGCCACAGACAACTGTTCAGGGCGTTCGTCGAAGAAGCGAGATTTGTTGAGGCACCAGGAGCCAAAGAGGATAAGGGATACTGCGATCGCTAGTGTGATTTCTTGGCTATGTGTCGTCTAGATTGACGGATGTGAGTGAGGCAAGTTGTGGCAAAATTGATCGGTTCAGTAGAGGGGCAGGAGGTAGGTGGTAGGTAATTGTGTTGCAGTAGCACAGTATGGATGTGAGGAGGAGGGAGGGGCTGAGGAACGAGGATGGAGGCTAAGGACCCATTGTCAAAATCAGTCCTGGATCTGTTTTCAGGTTATCGGTTGTGATACGTGAGATAGCTCACATAATGACCGGAAAAAGGAAAACGTCGCAGTCGAATCGACCCGGTTCTGTGGTCCTCCCACGTTTGCAGGGGTCAGGGCTCGCCGTTGCGTTCTGGACTGCAGCGACTGCCCCTGCCAGCATGCGACAGGAAGCCAACCGAACGCGGCGCGTGATTTGGTGCATGTGACGTCAGTCCCACTTTTGCCCACCCCTTGATTGATTGCTCGATTGCGGGATCTGCCTCCGGCCAATTGAAGGAGAGAAAAAATAAAAGGGAAATAAGTCCACATTTCTAAAAATCCAGGAAAGTATCTAACCGTAACATAACATCAAAGAAATATCAAGCGTCCAACTCCAGGCGATCCAGCATGTCGTCAATCTTTTGCAGCAGTATTTGATAGTTGGCTGCGTCTGCCTCGAACTCATCCTCGACTAGGGTTCCGGCCAAAGTGCTGATCCAACTAGAAGGCGGCGGCACGCGCTGCTGTGTTGGCGCCCCTTTGATGACGTTGGAAGCACCGGTTGGGTTCAATGCAGAGACCGTCACAGTCTGGGCACCTTCCGGCAATGTCGTCTCCCCAGGTGTGTCGCCGTCGACGGGGATGTGGTCACCACCAAGCGGCTGGTCCTCCTTCATCATCTCGTCCCATCCCGTGTCCTCGAACCGCAGACGGAATCTTTCAGACAAGTAAAACCGGATGTCGTCAAGAAGTTCGATCGTGTCCGTGTCCTCGCGGTTTTTGATCCTCGAGGCACTCTCCTGGATCATCTCGGCAAACTCTGGTTTGTCGATGTAATGCTCCAGGCGCGCACTGATGTACCGAGCCGCAAACTCCTCAAGCCTCTGGACCCTGAGGTCCCAGGCCGCGCGGATGACGTCGTAAATGTTGATGGGCTCTGCCTCGGCCGTCTCTGCTTTAGCGGGCGCGTTTTGCGTCGGTTTCTCGGCCACCGAGCTGCTGTTGCCGCTCCCCAGAGCGCTGATAAGTGCTACGGCCCTCGACTTTAGCTTGTCAAGAAGCAACATGTCGGCGGTGTAGAGCAGGTCGAGAGCCAGTTCGAGACTGCAGTCCGCCCTCTCTGTGTACAGGAACGACAGCACAACTTCCAGGACTTCGGGCACACAGTCGACTCGGACGACGCGTAGGTGCTCCGTGCTCTGCGCCTCGAGGAAAGGCCCAGCGAACATTGTTTGGAAGTAGGGGCTGCGTATCAGCATCGCCTTGTGCACGGGGTACAAAGTTGCCCTGCGCGGCCTGGCCTCGTGGCTTCCTGGCGTGAGGACACTCGCTCCGTTAGCCCCGGCGGTATCCAGATCGCCACCCTCTGATTCGCTTTCATCGGCCTGGAGCAGGCAGTCGGCATATGTGGAGTTGTCGCGGGACCATTTAACGTCCTGGGCCGCCCGCGAATCGGCAAAGATCTTCTTTGCGATAACATTATCGCGGAAAAATGATTCGACTTGTTCCTGAGCTCGTCGCACCTCGTCCTGGTATCTCTGGCGGGCTAGACGGCGATTGCTCGAGGCCATCACGGCGTCCCAGATGTGCCCGACCTCGAGTGATCGACTGATCTTGTCGATACCCTTGAAAATGTCTTCCTCTGTGACACCACCGGCACCAGAGCTTGCAAAATCACTAGACAGCTCGTCGAGGTAGAGATAACGGATTACAGCACGTGTAGCCTCGACTGGGGGTGAGTTTGGGAGTTTCCAAGTCTCGGTCCCCGGCGCGTCGGCCAGCTTCTTCGCAAAGTATGGAGTTCTGGCGGCCAGGAGAAACTTGTGGAGCTCAAAAGCGACGGTTGGCACAAGGCCATCACCCCCCGAAAGTGTGATGTCTGACGTCTGCGGTGTCGTCAACGAGAGCAAGGAGGTGATGTGGGATGACCAGGGCTGCAAAGGGTCAGTCGACTTGGAATAGTCATACTGTATCAGTAGCTTTCTGATCTTGTCATTCAGGGCATTGTAAACCGCACGTTCGCTGGTAATCACAACTTGCTTAGTATGCAGCCTGACACAGCTTTCTGGTTGGACCAGGGAGTGTACAACATACCCCTGGAATGTGTCTATGCAGCCACAACTTTAGCATGTGTTCTGATATGGCCTGCTGTTGGGGCCAGGCAGTGATTGCGCAACATACTCCTTTCAGCTGTGGCGCCAGACTCGAGCAAAAACCTTACGAGGTCAAAGTGGCCACATAAGCTTGCCTGGGAGCGAAATCAGCCCGGTTCACCGCATCTCCTGGTTTGAGCAGACGGCAAACTTATGGAGCCCCTACCAAGATCAACGGTGTGTAATCGAAGGCGTCTCTTCCATTGATATTGACACCGGCGGAGAGTAACTCCTGGCATGTTTTCAGGTCGCCACGCCGACAGGCCTCGAGGAAGTCACTGAAGGCGCCACTCAGGTCCAGTGGGTTCTCCTCGCGGAGGAGCCCGCTCCTGACGAGACTGCTCTCCTCCCTCAGCTTAGCCTCGAGTTCATGCTTGGGGACCACCATTCTATGGTGCAGAGATTATAGTAGAAGAGATGGACTGGTAATAAAGTTGCACGGCGGAAGATGGCTGCTGGCCTGGATGGGACCAAGTAAGGAGGAAGGCAGTGGTGAGAGGGGTACCAAACAGCCTAGCAGGGGATCGGATGTGGTGAGATGTCTACATAGATGAAAAATGTGATTATAGGAAGAAGGGGAAGCTTATCGACTCGGAAACCCAAGCTGCCCTTTCGCCCGCCCTTGCGCAGCAGATGTCTGCACTCGATCGTCGTCGTCAAGTGGGGGCTGAGATGATGCTGGAAAGTGGGGGCGCGGAACAACTCAGCTCCTCAACGTGGATGGGATCTTGCCTTGATCTCTCCTCCTTATTCGCGCGGCCATTACTTCGCTATTAATTACACTTGACATGTCTAGGTACTCTATCTATCTCTAGCTCCCAGTCTATCACATTAGGTACCTACCTAAATAGGTCGGTACTTTTTTGAGTGATTGCGACATGTTCAGTTCCCATCACGTGCATCACATTTGAGTGAGTGACCCCACCAGTCTCCATCTATGCCAGGAACAGTTGCCCCAAACTCACACCCACGCCCAGTGACTGAGCTATTTTTGTTTGCAGCCGCTATTACCCAGACCGACCGCTTACTCCTGCTCAAGGAGCTCACCGGGCGGCGCGCGCAAAACGGTCGCGTAGAGCCCGAACACATTTGCTTCTTTTCAGCACCAGAAACGAACGTATAGACACGGATTCGCACTTCTATCCCTCTCGCCTCACAATAGAGGCTCTGGGAGTTATCGCTCGCCGGTCCCTGCCGATGGCTGGCCTGCGGCAGGGTGTCCAGCACGTACCTGGTGTTCGGCGCACACTACAAACCAATACGGGAGCGCTCTTGCGGTTTCCCAAAGCCGCTGCACTGAGCTATGTACCCCTGAAACGGAGGTTGGCGCTGTCATGCCCGAGGAGCTTCGCCTCCACGCGGCATGGAGGACCAACACCACGGCCTGTCGGCGAGCTGGTAGCTCCACCTTTTGCCTTCGCATTCGAGTATGTTGGACACTTCCACGTACCTGCCCCCTCTCTCGAACCCTCCGTAGTACCAGCTGCATCGTCACTGACACGGCCCCTTCAGCATCGATGGCGTTTTGCTCCACGAGTCCAGTCCCATCCCGGGTGCGTCTGAGGCGCTGGGCTACCTGAACAAAAACCATATTCCATATATACTTCTTACCAACGGCGGGGGTGAGCATGAGAAAGACCGCGTTGCGACCCTCAGCGAGAAGCTCAAGGTCCACCTGACCACGGACAATTTTGTGCAGTCGCACACTCCGTTCCAAGAGCTCGCGCAGGGGCATGACAGCCTGCGAGATAAGACCATTTTCGTCACGGGGTCCAACGCGGCCAAATCGCGAGAAATTGCTGAGCGGTCAGTTCCTTGGCTCCGCTAGACCGGAACGGACAGCTCCTACTCAATCACTTGTTTCTTCGATTTATCTAACTCCTTTTTTTCCTGTTCTAGATATGGGTTCAAAAACGTAGTTATCCCGGCCGATATTCTCATGGCCCAGCCGACAGTCTGGCCTTTTGAGCCTCTGATGGAGTCCGTGTATGCGGCCACGGCCCGGCCTCTCCCCAAGCCCATATACGGCAGCCCGGGGGCGACTAGCGACGCGGAGGCGCTCAAGATCGACGCCATGTTTGTGTTCAACGACCCGCGCGACTGGGCGCTCGACATACAGCTCATCATGGACCTGCTCCTCTCCCGCCAGGGCTACCTGGGAACGTACTCGGCCATCAACGGGACTAGGTGGCAGGGCGACGGGCAGCCGGCCCTCTACTTTAGCAACAAGGACCTCTTCTGGTCCTCCAAGTACCACCTGCCGCGGTTCGGCCAGGGCGCGTTCCAGGCCGCCGTCGCGGGCGTGTGGGACCAGGTCACGGGTGGCGGCGAGGCGGGGAGGCTGCGCCGGACCGTCATCGGCAAGCCGTTTGCGGAGACTTATGCGTATGCCGAGCGCGTCCTTTCCAAGCATAGGGAGGAGGTGCGACGTCGGGCGGGTCACGGCGGTAAAGCCGGGCTATCGAGCGTGTATATGATCGGCGACAACCCGGAAAGCGACATCGCGGGCGCCAACGAGTTCAAGAGCGAGGAGGGTGCCGACTGGTGCTCGGTCTTGGTTCGAACTGGAGTTTGGCACCCGGACCGCGGCGAAATGAAGCACCAGCCGCGAGTCATCGTTTACGATGTGGCTGCAGCTGTGCGCTGGGCGTTGCAGAGAGAAGGTTGGAAGGCAGACTTCTGAGAGCCCGTGGACTTAGGCTCCGGGGCTTCCCACAGGCGTGCATGTCTCGACGAAGGCGTATCGGTATATCCCTTGCATGCTTCCTTGTGTCTGCGTGTTTGTAAATCTTATTTTGTTTCCGGGCAGGCCTCTCGCGGCTGATCCCGGAACCATAGACCGCTAGTCCTCATCGATATATAGGTACTCAATATAATAGATACGCGGATGAAGAAATGCTCTCACCATATCCTGTTTATGAGCTGCAGCTACATTGCATTGCCCTCTTCGTCCTGGGGACGTTTTCCGTCCACCGCCTCTCCTCTTCCGCGTCACCCTGGTACACCTTCCCATCGAAAGTCCGTCCATGCCAGCTGGACGCAAACGGGTAGGCTGTCATGTGAAGGAGCCTCCTTAGAACGTCCCGCTCGCCATCCTTCTCGACACGCCGAATCACCTCGTCGAGCACCCATCCGCGGGCAACAAAGTTGGGATTCACCATCCTCATAGCCTCCTGCCTCTCCACATCTCGGAATCCGGACAGACCGGCCACGGGCCCGGAGACGCCGTCCTTGATATTGGCCCAGTCATCGCTGATGCGGTCCCGCCAGCTACAAAGCCAGCTGCCGAGTCGCTTTCGGCCTTCCTCCTCGCCGCCGACGCCGGTGACGCCTTCGCTGTAGAAGAACAAGCCGGCCTTTTCTCGCGCGGCATCCTCGGTGGCCAGCTCGGCCACGGGGACGGAACTCAGGCGACGGAAGAAGAGGTTGAAGTCGAGCTCGAGTGCCTCCAGGGTGTCGAGCAAGGGGGAGAACAGCCCATCAAAGTCAGACTCTTTGTACGAGCGAAGCCCCAGGCGGGCGGCCATCAGGCGCTTGTACTTTGCGAGGAACACCGCCCTGTACTCCTCGCCGATCTGGCCGATGATCTTCTCCGCGCGGGCCACGAGAGGCTCCGCCGCGGCCTCGTCCTTGACCCCGTCCTTCTCAAAGGTCGGGTCGTCCACGAGCGCGCCCGCCCCGATGAGCTCCCCCAGCGCCTCGCCGAGCCGGACGAGCGACCACCACACGATGGTGGGCTGGTTCCTGTAGCTGTACCTGAGGGAAGCGTCGTCGTGGTTGGGCGTGTAGCTGGGATCGAAGTTGTCGAGGAAGGCAAAGGGGCCAAAGTCCATGGAGAGGCCCATGATGGACGTGTTGTCCGTGTTGAGCACACCGTTCATGAAGCCGTAGGCCTGCCAGTAGGCCACCGTCTCGGCGTTCCGCCGGACCACCTCGCGGTACATGCGCGAGAACCTGTTCTCGGCCGTGCCGTCCGGCCCCTCGACCTCGGCGGCCGGGACGCCCCTGCACGGGGCCGACGTGGACTCGGGCTGCTCTCCCGCTTTGCTCGGGTCCGTCAGGCGTCCGGGGAGGGCGCCCCAGCCGCCGAGGACTTCCTCTGCGACGTAGGTGGCCAGGCGGCGGATCAGAGCGCGGTCGCCGCGCGCGCGCAGGAGGTCAAAGGTGCCGAGGCGGATCCAGCTCTGGGCGAAGCGCACGACGATGGCGGCGGGCTCCACCGTCTCCCTGCGCGCGCGCTGGTGCGGCAGCAGGCTCAGGGCAAGCGCGCGGGTCGTGGGGATGCCGAGGCCGTGCAGGGCCTCGCTGGCGGCGAGCTCGCGGATGCTGCTGCGCAGCACGGCCTTGCCGTCGGCGAAGCGACTATATGGGGTCAGTCCGGCGCCCTTGAGCTGCACCTCGTGGCGCTCGCCCGTGCGCGGGTTGGTGGCCTCGAAGAGGCTGATGACCCGGCCGTCACCCAGCTGGCCGGCCCAGGAGCCGAACTGGAAGCCGCCGTAGCACTGGGCCCAGGGGTAGCCTTGGGGCTGGGCGCCGTCGCCGTCGTCCCAGCCGTGGAGGCGGTTGCCTACCACGGTCTGGCGGAAGTCCTCGGTGGAGGCCTCGGAGGCGCGCAGGCCGAGGGTCCGCATCGCCGCGGGAGAGACGGCCAACAGCTCCGGGTCCTCCTGGGGTTCGGGGCGGACCCACGTGTAGAGGGCGCCACGGACCATGCGCGGCCCGATCTCGGAGCGTGGCGTCTTGTGCGAGTCGGCCGGGGTCGGGAACGCCAGGTCGGCTGGAAGTCGCTCGGTGAATCGCCACGACTTTGGGAGTTCAGCCAGGCTTACTCCGCCGTCGGCCGGCTCGGGCTCAGCGCCCAATTGCTCCGGCGTGGTCGTCATTGGCTCCGCGGTCAGGAGGATGGGCCGCAGCGGTGATAAGCGAGTATCACAGCCTCGCGCAGACAGGACGTGTGCTGGGGATAAGTTCTTTGGCAAGCGCTGCAGCAGGACTCGCCCAATGTTACGGCAGAGCATGAGCAGCAGAGACAGCGCAGCGAGAGGAGTTGGCGATTCTTCAAAGTCCTCAGGATGGCGTTTTATTTTTACCCTTCTGGATGAAGTATTCGCATCTTTGGCCGTTCTAGGTGGAATTAAAGGAGGGTCAGTTCACTCGTGATGGGCACCAAACCTGGGCGGGGCACAGCTCAGACTGGGTGTTTCACTCGACTCTAGTGGATGTCATACTCGTAAGCAAGGGGGAAAGGGCCAGCGGATTCAAGCATGTTCGCCTCCAAAATGTGAAGTTTTTTTTCTTTCTTTTTTTTCTTCTTTTTTTTTAAAAAAAAAAAGAGTGGCGATTTCGAGACCCTTGGCAGCACGAAATATTTGACCCGGCGGGGGTTTTGTTCATAAATACGTCACAAAAAGAGCTCATGTATTTTGCCCATCATTTGGGTCTTCCTTTGCTATCCACCGACTCATTCCTTTCAACGCCGGTCGTCCTCTGCAAAATAGTTGGTGAAGAACCCGCGGTAATGGTTTCTCGCTCCCAACTGCGATATTTTCTCGACTTCTTTGGGTGTGAGCTTGAAGCTCGGTGTCTAAAATGTGTGTAAGTTCCAAAGTTCACGATATGATGTGTCGACATTAAACAGAAACCACATGAGAAACCACCAACCTTGGTTTGATACTGGCGCATCCGTCCTTCGTTGGAGCTGGTGGTGATGGCAACAATGCCGCTGTCAATGCACCAACGGAGACCGATTTCGCTGGGGCTCACCCCATATTTCTTGGCCAGCTCGGCATACGCCTCCTCAAGCGCATCTCCCTTGGCTGCCTTTGTGACGGCCGTGAGCGGCCCGTAGGCCGACACAGCGATGTTCTTCTCGCGGAGGTATGCTAGGAGCTCGGTGCGGGGGAGCCAAGGATGCAGTTCGATCTGGTTGATGGCAGGTGGGATCTTAGCCGTCGCGAGGATAGTCTCAAGGTGGTCGATCAAAAAGTTCGACACACCGATCGATCTCACCCGCCCGCTGGCCTTGATTGCCTCAAGCTCTACCCATTTGGCTTGCAGCTCCGCGGGCGACTTGGCCCAGAATGGGTAGTGCAGCAAGTACATGTCGACGTATTCGAGATCAAGACGCTTTAGAGATGCGCTGAAGGATTCCTCGAGCGACCTTTCCCCCTGGCCTGTTGTAATCAAGTGCTGCCATCAGCCCTGCGTCCCTCGCATCGACAGTATATAGCTCCAGGCACCAACCCGCTCATGGCGGGCTTTGTGGCACTTACAGCTGGCTTTCGTCGTAACATAAATGGCCTCTCGTGACACACCAGACTCTTTAATGGCAATCCCGAGTTCCTCCTCGTTCCGATATACTGTCTCAAGACGAATCAGTCTATGCTCGTGTGAAGGCACATGCGGGCACTGGGCACCCACGTTCAGCACCATCCAGGTGATTGAACCCGAGCTTAAGTGCCAGCTTCATTAGTTCAATGATTTCCTTTGAAGGTCCATCGGCGTCCTTGCCCCGGACGCGCGCCGTCCCCAGTCCTAGTTGCAGCAGTAGTCAGTCTTGTTCCGGGACAGATAGGGGGTGTCGGTCTGTGCCATAGACCCTGAGCCCTCGAGACCCAGATTAGGGAGGCAGGCAGACAGATCGTCGGCAGGTCCGCTGTCTGGATGGTACACACCATATGCCAGCTAGAGTAAAGACAATTGACGTTAGCTGCTCGAACCAACAACGAGCACCGCCAGGCCACCTGGTTCAGGAATCTTCAGAACACTTACCATGGGGATCTCGTGACCATCATTCAATTTGAGATAGGGAAGATAACCTAGCTGCTTCGGGGACTCGCCCGATGCACCCGGCTTGTCGGAGGCAGTCTCGGAGTTCATGATTGTCTGGCTGAGGCACTGCGCTGGTGACTGTGGGATCGGGACAGTGACCCTACTGGGGGTCTTCGCCAGAAGGCAGATAAATATGTTACTGCTTCCCAGCGGTACATGGAGGGGTTATCGGAGGGGAAACCAAACCCAGCGGAAATACGCTTGATTATCCCCGAGCTCCGCTTGTTTACCATGAATCATGAGATAAACCAACCACACCTGGTTCTCGTAGCGGGACACCAAACGGATAAGAGCGATCATTGTCTGAACATTCTTCCTTGCGTTTGCTCTCTTCAAGAACACGAAGCGGTTTGCTTCTGAGTGCCCCATGCGACAGCGCCTGCTTAGCAACGATCTTTATTTACACGTTCTCATCGCTACGTTGTGATCATCACGGATTGGCAATTCTCCGATGAATTGTTCCCAGCTTGAATCACAATTCATCATCCGAGTCTGTCTCACTACCCGCGTCAGCGAGAGTTGACGGCTCCCTCGAGGCTTTGTATGCTGAGCGCTGACTGCGCGTCGCCAACGGTTTGGTATGTCGGGATGGGGCTGGCGATGGCGACTTCGATACTCGTCCTGTATCCTTGGCAGCCGACGGGCCTCCTTGTTTCTTCCTACTCTCACTCGCCTTATTCTGGCCCACGGCGTGTTCGTCGGGCTCGCTTGCAGTGGCATCGCTGTCGCCGTCGTCGGTGGTATGCTGGTCCTCTGAGAGACCATGAGCGTTCCTGTCCTTGATATCGATCTCTGATAGGGAGTCAAGTTCCATCTCTTGGGGGCTGTCGCCATTGTTGCTGTCGCCGTCGTTACCCGCAGGTTGACCAGTTGGCGTCTTCCGCTTGTGGCGGCGCGCCAACGCGGGGGCACGGGCTTGACTGGGGCTGTGCTCTGGGCTTGACTGGACTGGCGCCAGAGCGTCCGGGCCGAGATTGCCGCTCCTGATAATATCTTGCTGCTCACGGATCCTGGCCTTTTTCTCGTTTAGAAGGAGGCGGAACTTGTCGAGCAGTGCCGCCTCATGATCGCGCTTGGCGTTCATTAGCTCTTCGAGCTGGCTACTGAGCGCGGAGACGGCCTGTTCGAGCTCCTGGGTTTTGGCCCTGACGGAGACGAGCTCTTCCTTCAGCCCTTCCCGAGACGCAATGGCGATGCCACACCATTGAGTCACATCGCTATCTTCTTCCTCCTCATCCTTCTGCAGTGTTATAATGCCCAGACGTTGCTAAGTGCCAGCCGGCCATGCGATTGGGTCATGGTCAGCTCTCAAACTACCGTCTTTTATTCTTACAGCCCCGGCCGAAATAAGCTGGGGTCGAGGAGACACTAACTGTGATGCCCTGTGCTTTCTTGCGGACCGTGATCTGAACCCGGTCAGCCCGCAGAGCAGCTGTGAGCTGGATGTCTTCCAAGACCTGACGCTCGAAGAGCACTGACTCCAGGATCTGTTCCCACTCGCTGGACGAGCACGGGCTTCCTGGAACCTTCAGATCCGCGATTGCGGCATGTTGCACTGAGCAGGATTGGGCGTGAGAGCGTGGGGTCAGCCAACAAGCTCCCGCAGGCATGTCAAGTTCCGAAACGCACGAAATATGGGGAGCCAGGGATCATCCTTGGCTGCGCGGGGCCGACCGTCGTCGGGGTGGGATAGTTTGCGCGAAAAATGGACATCAAGCAACAAGACTTGGACGGGTTTCTTACATGCGACAACGTAAGGGTTTTCGCCCTCAGTGGCAACGAGCTTGACATCAAGCGGTTTAGTGTTTTTGGCCACCGAGGGAGTTGCATGGACCAATATAAACGAGGAGCCGTCGCCGTCCGAGCGGACGATTCTCAAAACATGAGAAGGGGACATCTGTTGCCTGTGGGGAAGGTAAGTAACAACAAAAGCCGGGCTTTGGCGTGTCGGCACCGGGTGGAGGATGAAACAGAAGTAGATTGAAGGGTTGGATAAAGACGGCGTACCGTATTGTCGACCGCGCAATGATTATTATTAGGGCAGTATTAACAGAGAGAGGAAAGGGAAAACAATACCGACAATGACGACGGCGGACGAAGAGGAGGCGAGCCAATATCAAGCCAACATGAAGGCGTGGATGCGGACGAGCCACACGAGGCTGCCTATAATTACGGGTCCCTAGCTGCCTGTTTGTGGGGAAATGAAGACCCAAAATTCCGTCCCCAGGATGACGCCACTTGGTTCCGCTCAATCTTGCGGGTCACACACAGCCTTGGTCTGCTTTTGGTCTTCGTTAATTGCCAAAGCTGCGTGCAATCTGACAGACACCGAAGCTCAAAACTCAACAAGGAAGGGCCGGCCGCTCAGTCAGTCCGTTGGCTAGGGTATCGGACCTGCAAGCCGAACACTCGAAACAGGGTCGGAGCTGGGATCGAAGAAGTTTGCATTGGAAGTGCGTCAGATGAGGACACTGCTCCAGCAACAATGTTCAACGCGACGTGTCGATACGAGCATATGAATGCCTGTTCTTTCCCAACCAAGCACTTCGGCAAAGCTCGCCCATTTAGGCGTTCGTGCGCGTCCAGGGTGCCACTTATTTAATGGGAAGCGAAGGCGCAGCGCAGCCAGCACACGCGTATGTTTCGCGCCCACCTCGCGTCCCGCGCCGCCGACAATACGTGTGCTGCCTGCAGCTGCAGGTGCTCCAGCGTGCTAAAAAAAAAAAAGCGCAGCTAGCAGGCGGGCGGTACCTGATGCTGGGTGGACCTTGAACGTGCGCACAGATCATTGGCGCGACCTGCACGATTACGGCCCACTTTATCCCAGGGCGCCCCACTGTAGCGACCACCAACCACCCAGGTCCCAGTTCCATCAGGGCCCGACCTCTTCAATCCATCGGCGAAAATCCCCCCAATCTCCTCCTCCCCAGCAATCCAATTGTCGTTAACGTCACAAATTTTTTTTGTGCATCTCCATCCCGGTCTATAGTTCATTTTATCTGCTACGGATTGATTTGATTACTTGCGCCGCTTCCGGTTTATTTTGATTTTCTCGGTGTTCCCATCTCTGGCTCCGTCGGTTACTCTCTTATATCCTTCCAGATTTTGTGCGCTGGCACGGGGTGTTTTGTCGCACGACTTGACGCAACAACTGGGCGTTCGATTGCAGAAGCCAGACTGCGACCACTTGGCCGGACAGAAAGCAACCAACTCAATTCGACCCGACGACCAGTTCACCGTCCATTTTCTCCGCCACTCCAACCCAATCTACATCCTATTTTGCCACGCGGACAAATATCCATCGCATCCGCCACAACAATCGATCGCGCTGAAGGCAAAGTCAAGAAAGCTTTGCATCACGACTCGTCTGCTCGCACGATCCGCGAGCCCTTGATCGAATTAGGCCTGGTTGGCAAATTTGCGACGAAGCCGACCCCAACCCCCCTCCCCGACTCACGCCAATCACACCAAGCTCGCAAGCGATGCTGTCTGGCCATCGAGGTCATTGCTGTCGACTATGAATCTTCACAATTGACCTTCGATTTCCGCGTCGCTGTAAATAACCCGAATCGACGCTTCGCGCTTCCATCCACATCCCATCGCCCTGGTTGGTCCTTTCAGCTCGCGACCTCCCCAATGGACACACCCAGACTACAGCCGCGCCTCCCGGCGCCCGGCGCCGAACTCGAGAACTGGGACGACGATGATTTCCTCATCGATGATGACCTGACCTTCCGGAGCGGAGGCTCAACTGCAGCCAGCTATGTCGACCGGCGCGGCTCACACTCCTCCTTCCGCTCCGAGCGCGAATCTCTACAAGGCGAGGAAAAATGCCTACAAATACCCGACGACGACGAAAAGTCAACAATGGATGCCATCGCGGCCGCTGCCAACGCCGGAATCCCGCTTCCTCGGAATATCACACCTTCAGCTCTCATGGGCGGTACCATCAAGAGGCTAGGCGGGCGCAAGATCAAGAAGATCATCCAGGAGGACTGGGATGACGACCTGGAGCTCCCAGAGCTGGGCCAGGCCCTCCGTATCAAGCCTCAGGACGGTTCGCGCTTTCCCGACGTCCTGCGACAAGTCAGCAGCACGCAGACGAGTCCCGTAAAGATGACGAGGCCGGCCACCGCCGCCGCCGCCCCTCATCCCGACCAAAGACCCCGAGTATGCAACGTCCTTTCGAGCAGCGTCAATCTCGACAAGTATAGGGACAATGACGATGAGGACGACGACTTTTTCGGTGACGGCGGTGCAACCATCAAGGTCCCCAAGACGCGGGCGCCCAAGCCGGTTTCCCTAATCACGCCTCCAACACCACGTAAGAACGAGGGCGAAGATGACATCGAGCTCGACTTGGAATTTCCTTCGGACGGCAAGCTCAAACTATCCACGCGTAGGGACATCCCCAAGACCCCATCCCTCAACACGCTTGAGGATTTTGACTGGGGCGAGGGGAGCCTCGGAACTAGATTTGGAGGCACTCGTCGAGATGGGCGTTCAAATCGCAGCTCCTCGGTCTCCGCACTAAGTCCGAGCATAGCTAGTTCTCGGACTGCTGAGAGCGAGGACGAGGCCATGGATGGACTGGTCCTCCCCGAAGGTCTAGACTTCACGGAAAGGCTGAAGAAGCGGCGTCAAAGTCCCTCGCCCGAGCGACCAGTTGAGCTGCCACAGGTGCCGCCAACAGCCACTGCGTCGCTTCCCACCCCTCCTCCCCGCGCTGATGCGGACCGTGAAGACTTCCTGAGTGGCCTTGAGATTGGAAACGGCGAGGTCTACGACAGCGGAAAGCTCACCCTCCACCGTAACATTAAGGTCAAAGATGCGAGGTCGGCAAGCCCCACTCGGCCAAAGACCGCCGTCTCCATCACCTTCACCAACAAGCCCGTGACGACAAGTACCTCCCGCCTGCCGCGCCCAATGATGGGACACGAAAGGACTCACACATCGACCTCTTTGGAACCCGTATATGAAAGCGGCGGACCGATACTGTCGCGCTCCCAGAGGTCACAGTCGAGGATCGGCCATTCTGCCCAGTCGTCTATTGCGAGTCTTCCCACGCCCACCACGCCCTCTCCCGGCATGTCGCTACCCCCGGTGACCCCTCGCAGAAAAGAGGTCGGCCAGAAGACATCCGTCATGTCCCTCCGTGACGGGCCCACGACGACTAATGCGCAACTCTTGCGACTGAAGCGCTCACTACCAGTGATGAGGGCTGCGCAGTCTCCAGCCCGGCCTCTGCCTTCACGTGGTTATGAACGGCCTCCTTCACGGACGGACGGCCATGGCCGCCCTAGCTCTTCGCACATGCGACCCAAGACGCCCGTTGAGCGAACCCGAGCTGGACAGGAGAGCGCTGCCGCACAGGCGCGGAGGAACCCAGTCCCGTTCCTTGCTGGCGGCTCGATCCAGTCACAGTCTCACCACATTACCAGCAAGGGCTCCCGGACGTTGCGTCGGCAGGACTCGGACGCCACCGTGGACTTTAGGCCCTCGTCTCGCACAGTCTCAAGATCCACGGTGAGATCCCCCAGTCCGTCAAAGAGGTATCGTGCCGTTGAGAGACTAGCCCAGGAGAAAGGCTACCAACAATTGCATAAGCCCAAGCGGCAACGAAACTTTGGCGATGGTCATGAGCTGGACGGTTTTGACGACCTGGCGACCTCGGCTCAGACGGAAGCACGGTACATGAGGCAACCAACCAACGGAGCCAAGGCTCAGTTGAGGAGCAAGATGTACCAGAGCATCTTGCCCGACCGGACAACTACACCTTCTCCATCACTATCCTCCCCATACTCACCAGCAAGAGCCGACTTCACGCCACGGTTTGCCAGAGACACGGCCGCAAGTAGAATCGCGCGGGAAACGGCTCTGGCTCAACGGGCGCCCTCGAACGGCCCTCTGGCGCCGTTGACGACGCAGCGAGTTGCTCAGCTGTCGACACGGTCCAACTTCAATACAGTACACGGCTCGGGAATCACACGATCTCCCAAGAAAGCGACCAAGCGACCTCCACAGCTGAAGCCTTACCTGATCTCGAACTTGAACCCCTCAAAGGACTCCAAAGGTACTTGTCCCGCTCTCATTCTCCTCTGCTGCCCCCTTCGGCTCCAACGCGGCTGGATTGCTGACACGTAATGTGACGATACTTTAGTTGTCAATGGTATGGTCTACAACCCGGATACATATCGCTGGGAGGGCAACGAGAACGCTCTGGGCGCATTCGATGCCCCTGCGTCATCTCCGTCCACCGCCTCCGTTCCAGCATACCTCAGGGATAAGGAGAACGCAACGCCACGACCAGCTCTGATAACGCCTATCGGGGCGACCAAGGGTGTGCAAGTTGTAGGTGGCATGGTTTTCGATCCCCAGAACATGTGCTGGTTGAAAATAGGGCCGCCTATCAGTGGCAAGCACGACTCTAGCCACGATGCCATGGATGGGTTCAATGCGCTAGATGACGAGGACGACGTGTTCAAAGACATTCCCGACCTGGAGGACGCGGCGGCAAAGTCGGCCGAGGGAGGGCACGGCGGCCGCGTGAGCGATATCAAGGACGACTGGATGGTCGGGGAAGAGTTCGATGTTGGGCCAGAATTCGTCCGCCGACAACGCGAGGAGGAGGCCAAATGGCGCAAGAAATGCGAACAGTGGCTGAGCCCTCGGCCTCGTGACCGCGACGCCTGGCGCTGGACCATTCGAGATATCGTCCTTGGTGCCCAGCAATAAGCACTAACCCCGACCAACTGCGACGCCTCGATTGCTTGCCGACGATGGCGCGTCCTTCACCCTTCCACCCACCGACGAGACACTCTAACACCAAATACAACACCCCAGTGGCATATCAACGCCGCTAGTCTATGTATGGGGAATCTTTTACCCATGCCAGATCAATAATCTTGGCAAGAATTTCTTTCTCCATTGACCACTTCATCATTTTCTTTTTTTTCTCCCTTCTCGCCACGTATCTATCTTCTGGCGTCTACTTTAATCAGTCCTCACTTCGATGGCCTTACTGGCTTACACTCTCTCTTCTCGATTCCCCTTTGTTTCTTTTTTCTCATCTTTTTTACCTTGCAACTGTACCAACATTTTCGGCATGGAGTCGCGGATTCATGCATTGTTCATCAGGAAAGCATATTGGGCATAAAGGCGTGTGAGAGTGGGCAGCCACAGTACCCGGGTTTTGCGAGATGTTTCTTGGTAGACTGACGGTTATGCTACCTGCTGCTGCCACCGAAGCCCCAAGTCGTTTCTTTCTTTTCTTTTTTTCTCCTCAACGCCTTGCACTGATGGACTTCGTCGGGACGTGCAGCAACACGGTCACTATCTTCCCAAGCTTTCCCTTTGTTTTTGCTTTTGCATATTCTGCCGTTGGCTTGCAGCCGGGCACTGGATGACTACGAGACGCATTTATGACTTCTACATTTGGCTCCATTGGTTTTTTGCCTTGCCTTTTGTCTTGTTTCTTTCCCCCCAGGGCGTTGTTAAAAAGGAAAAGGGCTGGGAACGCCCAAGAAGGAGGTTCAAAGGAAGGAGCGCCTCCTGTGCCTTTGGGCTTGGGATAGACAGGTAGTAAATAACCGGGATTTAAACACAGACTTGGAACTCGGTAATTTCCACACTCATAAAATTTGCATATATGGATTTCCTGGTCGCGCAGGTGATGCAACGCTCATATGCGGGGCGGATAGCAAGATCGAGGTGATGCTTTGTAGCATCATGATCCATATCATTCCCGCGCAGGCCCACCTCGCAGGCTCTCTACATAAGGCTACGATGTTGTGACACTGCGAGGTGGGCCTAGCCCAAACCCTTATTATTGCGGCATTGTTGCCCGCCATCCCGAGGCAGGGACCCACCCCAGCAGCACCAGGTTCAGGTATTCCACCAAGCTTACTCTCCGCCTTGGTTGCGCAAGGAATCCCCAAGTAGCCACCCGTGATCCGAGCCGCCCTCCTTCACCCTCGCTGCCTATTGTCTGTGTTTGGTACAATAGTTCGTCCAGCCACATGTAGCTATCCGTCGGCGTCAATCCCAACATCCTCACTGGCCGAATCCGAGTCGACTCAAACTGTGCCCAGCGAACCGCCCATTCCCAGCACCGACAAGCAGACCAACCGACAGCCTTCCTGATCCCCGCGGCACCCTGCCCGCGCTGGCGCATGGGCCTACAACCAACCCGCCTACTCTCCTCTGCCTTTAGGCCGCCGACCACCTCGGGCGTGGACGCCGCCGACCTCGGGCCGCCACGCAACCATGGCCGCGCCCGCACTCAACTTCATCACCTTCAACCAGGACCACAACTGCCTGGCTGTCGGTATGCGTCCGCGCCCTGCCTTGCTGTCCGTGGCTGCCGGCCTCGGTTTTCGTCGCGCCCGCTGCGCCGGGCCGGGCCTATCTGCTAACAGCATCGTCCTACAGGCACCTCGCGCGGCTTCCGCATATACCACACCGATCCTTTCTCCAAGATCTTCAGCAGCGATGACGGCAATGTCTCCATCATTGAGATGCTCTTCTCGACCTCCCTGGTCGCCCTGATCCTCTCCCCCCGCCATCTCATCATCCAAAACACAAAGGTGAGAACGCCACGGCAACAACTATGCTGTCCCCTCTCCGTTTTCCTGTCCGTTTGCCCTTCTGTGCCGGCTGACCGTGGACTCTGCTCTGCTCCGCGCATCTCCCCACCCGAAACTCTAGCGCGCGTCCGTCATCTGCGAGCTCACCTTTCCCTCCGCCGTGCTGGCCGTCCGTCTCAACCGGAAGCGTCTTGCCGTTGTGCTGGAGGACGAGATATACCTCTACGATATCTCCAACATGAGCCTCCTTTTCACCATCGCCACATCGCCGAACCCCAGCGCCATCTGCGCCCTGTCGCCCTCGTCGGAGAACTGCTACATCGCCTACCCTTTGCCCAAGCCGCGCGAGGACCGCGATGACAAGCGCCCCAGCCACGCCCCGCCGCCGTCAACTTTCGTGCCCCCCACATCGGGTGAGGTGCTCATCTTCGACACCTTGACCCTCAAGGCCGTCAACGTCATCGAGGCCCACCGCTCTCCCCTGTCATGCGTCGCCGTCAACAGCGAGGGCACCCTCCTGGCTACCGCCTCCGAGACGGGCACCATCATACGCGTCTTCAGCGTGCCCAAGGGGCAGAAGCTATACCAGTTCCGCCGTGGAACCTATCCCTCCACCATCTACAGCATGTCCTTCAACCTCAGCTCAACCCTCCTCTGCGTCTCCTCCACCTCGGACACGGTCCACATATTCCGCCTCGGCGCACCTCATGGAGGCGGTCCCGGAAGTGCTCATATGCTGCCCGCAGCCGCCTCTGGTGCCAGCGCTATCACTTCCGCGTCACACGCGCACCGCCGCTCCAGGTCCAGGGGCTACGACAGCGGCACCGACTCACCCGGCAGCACGGCAGGCTCCCCCCACAGCGACCCCGCCGAGCTCGCCGGCAACGGGGCTTCGTCGGGCGCCGACGGCGCGGCCGGCGGCCGGGACGGACCCCACAAGAGGCAGCAGAGCGGTTCTTTCAGTGGCATGCTCCGCAGGTCCTCCCAGCTGATGGGTCGCAGCGTTGCCGGCGTTGTCGGCTCGTACCTCCCCCAGACTGTCACGGAGATGTGGGAGCCTGCGCGCGACTTTGCTTACATCAAGATCCCCAAGTCGTCATCTTCGGTAGTGTCCCCGCGACAGGGCGGCGGCGTCAGCGGCGCGGTGGGCAGCATATCGTCTCCGCCAGGCCCCCACTCGAACGGGCCCCTCCGTAGCGTCGTCGCCATGAGTAGCAGCAGCCCGCAGGTCATGGTGGTGACAAGCGACGGTGGCTTCTACGTCTTCAACATCAACATGGAGCACGGCGGCGAAGGATACTTGGTGAAGCAGTTTTCGTATGTGAGCCCTTCTGCGTGAGACTGGCAGCTTTCACATCGCACCCTATGCTATGCACCCGATATCTCTACCCACACACACACACACACACACATTATACTAATAGTCACGGTCTTCGATTTTGCAGGGTACTCGATGGCGATGACAAGCTCGATGCGTCATCATACGGGGCCTAGAGAGACGTGGCCTCTCTTGCCATGGTCCTTTCTTCGTCCCCTTCTTTCTTTCTTGTTCTCTTTCGGCTTTCCCTCCTTGGATCAGGTTGTCTCCCTTATCGTCTTTCCATTTTCAGTTCGAACTTTCATTTGTCGGATGCATCAGCGTGTGGCGTTACGTCCATATCCCATTTACTCCCACGGTACCTTTATTATACTACGTAATCGCCCAACTCGACAGTTATCCAACTTTACTCAGGACCTTATCCTCGGTAGGGTCTCACATCTCTTTCGCGCTGGCGTCGGAGAAGCGACGCATTTTAGATTTTGGAAATATAGCCCTATAGCTACAGGCATGAGTGCCAGACTAGCAAGTCTCCTCATATCGTGGCTACCAATTGACCACGCAAGGTATTATCCCTCATTTATATTGCTCTTAGTGCTTACGGAATATTGTTATTATTCATAAAAAAGTAAACCTCACGTAAAAGCTCGGCAGGATTTCCTAACCCCAGAGATCACAGGCTGTGTTAAAGAACGATGCGGGATTCTGTCGCACGCGGGTTTTAGCGTATTGCACGTATGTGCCAGAAAAAGAAATGAACCAAAATCCAGATAACAACAAGAGATCAAGTTTCCGAATCGCCCAGGAAGAAAAGGTGTCGTGAAAACATATATCATTCAGGATCGTCAAGAATGATAGCGTTTCGAGAGGAGACGGCCGGACTGATAAGCCGACGACCGAACCGCAGTGGTCTCGGGTGTCACCTTCGTGGATGCCGAGGGCCTGCTCGGATGAAGGGCCTGTCGAAACCATACGGCCGTGGTGCCGCCGGTAACTACGCCGCTAGAGATATTCCGGGAGACTGTCGGTCTTTAACGGCCCTGACATCAAAGCTAGGCGCGACGCCTAGTGGGCGAAAATCCACAGTCGAACGGTATCCTGGAGGCGCCTTGAGTAACCTCTGCTCAGAAGCTTGAGAGCTTCCCATAGCATAGACTCCCGACACTCTTCGTGGCCCAGGAGCTTGGGAGGGAGCGGATGTGATGATATCTTGGCTCATCTTGCGTATGGTCGGTTCATAAGGGCTATCTCGCGCGAGATTTCGGCCCACTCGAGTTCCCGCTTCACCTCTTCGCATCGGCGTGTCTGGAGCAGCTCCTCCCATTTGAGCAGCTCGTACGCAAATCTCAAGTGGGGTTGGATGATAACGTTGAGCCTGCGGGCCCGGACAAAGCTGTAGGCTCTCGGAAACGATAGCTTCATCTCGCGCATCACCTCGGCGATGCAAATGGTGGCGCTGCGAGAGACCCCAACGCGGCAGTGCACCAAAGTTGCTGTACCGTTGCGTCGACCTCGCTCTGTACATTGGGAGAACATCCTGTCAGTCTATCGAGTCTTCGATTTTGTCATGGACTTCAGCAGAGAGCGCCGGCTTACCTATAAAATCCAAGCACCTCTCAAATTCGCTCGTCAGGGGGTCTATGCCGTTATCCTGGACTCCCTGGACGTTGCAGACGTTTTCCGGACCCCATTCCTCGAGCTCGCCCTCTCTCCACATAACCATCTCGCCGACGCTGAGGATCTGGCCAATGCCCAGGACCTTAAGGAGGTCCGTGTTGTTGGCGTGTCCCAGGTTTCCGAGATACATATAGTCGAGGATCCTGCTGGGAAACGAGCCGTCAAGTGCGGGCAGCCACTTGGGTTCATCGCTCAACATAGCCGTCACATCTGCCAGACCCATATGCGCGCACGCTGGCGAGGCTGTGAGCAGACGGGCGGCTATGGCGTTTAGCAAAGCAACATCAGTAGGGTAAGCAAAGAAGTTGCGCTTCTTTACGGTGTGGAGGTCCAGCCATGCCTGGGGAACAGGGATGCCAGTGCTGTAGCTGAGATAGGCTATGCCAAGCAGGGTCGTCTCCGTGTAACCGTCCTGACAGTGAATGAGGATCTTCCTGGGCGGGAGGCTCGCCGCCATCGATACGTCACTGGTTTTAGAAGCGACCTCCCCCAGGCCGCTGGGAGACAGCCCATCGGATGGCGTTGGGCAGGTTCCGTGGGCTAGATGATAAAGGGACTTGCACGTTTCGAGAATGCCGTCCGCTTCGGATTGGGACCAGGTCGGTGGCAGGATCGAGCCTGATGACGGGAATTCAAGGAAGGCCTGCTGGATGGCCATTTCGGGGCGGCCAACAAGGGACTGGAGGGTATCGGGGTTTAACTGACCCATGTCGGTACACTCGATAAGCACGTCGAAGCCAGATTCATCGTCAGTCCCAGGGTCGGGCGTGGGGCCCAGCCACACATTGTGCGAAATTTCCGAGGCCTGGGTCATGGCGTACATCTCCTTGCGCTCCTGGCTGAACAAGTCCACGGCGCTGCCCGTCAGATGGCCAGCCGAGCTGACGGCCACGATGCCCGGGTGGTATTGTTCAAAGTCAGAAAAGGGAGCGAAGCAGACAAAGGTGTTGTAGCGCGGGAGTATGTCTCCTCCAGCCTCGTGCTTCTGCCGCCACAGGTGCTGAGCGTTTGCGATGTCCCAACCCAGCCTCCGGACGAGGAGCTCATCATCTCCATAGACGATGATGTCAGAGGTCATAGCGTTCTTGGCAGCCTGTATCTGAAAGTTACGGACCGAGAAGCCATCACGGGGATCAACGTCAAGGAACTCGGCAGCATCGCCGGGCTGGAGGAATTCATGTGGGGCAATGGCGCCCTTGAGGCGCGAGGTGGAAAGGTCGCCATCAGCTTTGACCAGTGTGAGCCCGCGCAGGCAGCGAGGTGTTTTCCGCAGGGCACGGCGGCGCTGGACGAAGAAGGCCTGTTGGATGTGGTTGGCCGGGTTGAGGCCGTGCAACCAGGGAAAGACGGCAGCCGGGCTGGGCAAGGGCTGGCGGGCAGTGTGGTCCAGGGCAGCGACAATATCGCTGGCTGCAATCTGATAGAGGCTGAGGGAGCCCCCATCGGTAGGCCGAAGGCGGGGGAAGCGGTCCGGAGGATGGAGGAAGGACGAGGGCGAACAGTCGGGGTCATGTTCGGGAGACTGGGGCCCGTCTCGCGCAGGCTGCTGCTGGGGTACTGAGACGGGGACCGGGCCCGGGGGACATGTGGGTAGGTGTTTGTTCGGGATGGGACCGGCGGCGGCGTTGATGTTGTCTATCGGGATGGATGAGGGGGCGAGCGACGTGATGCCCGACGAGGCACGATGGGGTGGGATGGGCCGCGGTAGAGCGATGGTGGCCATCATGGCGCACGTGGGCTGAGGCTGGTTTGCCGTGTGGCTTAGTGGTTCCGCTCCGAGTCCAACTGAGGCCCTTACTGGGATGAGGGCCGTCAAAGGATGCTGCGACGGAAGCACGAACGCATGTGCATGTGCTACCAAGACGAGCAGCAAGCACGCAAAGCCTCACGCGAAAATCCACGGCCTAAGGCACACGACAGTACAGTAGGCAACGAACCCAAGACGACACCCAAGACGGACCAGAGTCCAAGCCTCAAAGCGAGCAACGACAAAACGAACAAGGGAAAGGGATGCTAGAAAATCTCCAAAAGAAAAAGACGAAAGAGAAGAGAACAGAAGCAGAAGCAAAAGAAGAGGCAGAAGGCAGAAATGAGGCACTAGTCAGGCGAATGCACAAAGCAGAGACGACGACGAGGCCTAATCAAGCGTGCTGTGTGCCGTTGGGTGTCTGGATGCTAGAGCTGGGCGGGGCCCAGTGTGTGGTGGTAATCAGCTGCTTTCGCCTGACGAGGGGCGGTTGCTGTTCGAGGCACAGGGCGGTTCCGAAGCCTGGAGTATGGTGGCACGACAATGATCAAGTGGTGATGGCGGCGAATCGATGAAACAAGATGGGAAAGTGCTGGCAGGAGTGGAGTCTGGCAGCTGGGACTGAGTCGCGAGATAGACCCGACAGCTAGCAGCGGAGGCCCAGCCAGGTGGGTGATAAGCATGGAGGTGGCAGGTAGGGCGAGGTCGAGGAATCAATGGGGGAGACACAATGGCTGGCATGTCGACGAGCGCCAGCTGTGCCAGTCACTCCAGTTTGGTGAGGGGGCTCGAGGGCGACAGGGGACTGGGGGGTAGCTAGGGCGGGACATGGACAGGCCCCCGGCCATTTCTGGGCACGGCGGGTACCTCTCTAGCAATCCCGCCCGTCGCAGGCCATTGAGAGGCCACGGCCGCTGCCTGTTTCACGTTGCAGGCCCAACCCCCGGTGCTGGGCAGTGGACAGCCCGCACGGCTGGTGGGCAGAAGAATGCACGCAGCGGGCGGGCAAGCGGCGGTGCAGCGATAAGGGGCGACATGCAGCAGATGCAAGAGTGGGCCCCTCCACGTTCCTTGCTGCGGGGGCGCCAGATGGGTGCAGCTTGAGGGGTAGCAGCAGGCCAATCACGAGCTCCCGATGCGCACCAGAAACGCCAGGCGGTAGCGCGGCTTTTCCAGCCGCAGCATTCCGAGGGGCACAGATATGGACGGCGGGCGGGCTGGGATAAGATTTGGGTTTGGTCGTCCATCATTCCGGGTGTGTCGGTCTGCAGGTATCCATGCCACGATTTGGATTTGATTTGATTCGACGCGATGCGCGGGGATGCATTGCGAGTTAGTGCGTCATCTTGCCGAACCAGCAGAATTCCCTCCATAAATATATCATCACATCAGCATCACCATAACCCCAAACGACCACAGACATGCGCTTTCGCAGATGTATCGGGTGGCCCTAATCTAAGTGGGGACATGCCAGGCCCAGACACAGCATTAGAATAAGAATATGCCCATTCCATGGCGGCACGCGGGCCACCCCTGGGAGACAAAGTTGGAGTGTCGGCCTCCACAAGAGCTCGCTCAGGGCTCGAGAGCTTCACTTCCATCACTCAATCAATCTTTTGCGTGGCGGCTCGTGCTCGCCTGGTGCGTCCGTAGACGCAGCGACGCCGTGGGTCTTCACTCCAGCCTCGTGGCCTTACAGTAACATATCAATCAAGGGTCATGCAGATCCAGCGTTTGTTGGGGCCCAGGCACCAGGCAAGCCGGAGAGCCAATTTGCGGCAGGTGAGCCGTCCAGCTGGGGCACATTACTGGGGCACATCAAGCGGAGACCCAGCTGTGACGGGTGCCTGCCGTACTGACTGTGCACATCTCCATAATAATAAATACAGCTGTTCCGAGAAAGGAGATTCCGCGCGCTCCATAAATTTCACAAGGCAGTTCAGGTACCCACTGCGCTGAGCAGCAGGCCCACACAGCCTGCGTCATTGATGTCCGCGCCCATCACCACCGAACGCGAGGCTCTAAAACCTCCGTAGCCTGTCAAGCTTTGGCTTGGCGTCTTCTCACAACGGCCTCTTTGTTACCATCACCCCAACACGTGTTTCCCGCGGCCTCTGCCGGCAGAAGGGGAGAGGTGTGCGTTGCATGTGTGTGGCAGGAGACGGTTGACCAACTCGGAGTGTTGTCCGCGACCCTCTCGCAGCCGGTCTGTTGGCCTTGGCTGCCGCCATGTCGAACACCGCGCATCACGCTCACACGTACGGCACCGAATGCCGTCTGGCCCCGGTTGCGCCCCTTCCCGACGACTACCGCGATGGCGATGGCCATGAGGATGACTATGGCGCTGCGACAGAGAGAATCCCGCCCATCAACGCCCAGTTCTTCTACTCATCCCTAATCCCCATCCAAGACTCGCCCTCGTCCGCTGCCTCCGACGCTAGGGGCTCATCCGCCCAAAGCCAACGTCCCTTTTCCGAAGCCGACAACAACGCGCTCGAGCGGGCATGGCTATCCCTAGCCTCAGACACCCACCGCCGCGCCCACTCCCGCGCCCAGCGGAACCGGAGCCCGAGCCTGTCCGAGTCGAGCAGAGACGCGGCCACTCTTACCGCCATCTATCGCCGCTTGATCGAGAAGCACAGTTTGAGGCATCAGCAAGACGCCGCACCGTTCTCTGTCTCGAATTCCCCGACCGCGACCCCCGCGTGCTGCCCTGAGCTCCGGACCGATGCCGCCAGCGAACTTAGGGGTACATTCTGTGTCCTCACCCGCCGGCGCCTAGGTATGGACAGCGAAGCTGTCGTTGCTACGGTCATGGCCGAGCTTGGCAAGGCTGGCCCCACAGATACTAGAGGCCAGACTGAAGCCAGGTCGAGGTCTGAACAGCTGTCCCCAACTGCGGCCACCGGGGCCAGACCGAGCATGCTCCCGGCCACGAGAATCGGAAGAACCGGTTCCCGTGTCAAGGCCGCCGACGCGGCCAACAGTTCAAGAGCCAGAGCCGGCAGCAACACCCTGGCCACAACCACTGTCCAGCCAGGGCCCCCGCCGCCAGATGATGGGATTTCGGGAAAGCCGTTTGTAAAAATCGGATCCCCAGGCACAGAGGACACCCCAATCTCGCCCCCTAACGCTACACCCCCGAAACCCCGAACGGCTACTGTGGTCACAAACACACCCAACGACAACCAAGCGGAGCCATGGGAGCCCGCTCGTGCCGTCCAAGTACCCGTCGGCTCACGCCTGTATCTAGTCTCGTTCCCGGAAATGCAGATGCGGCCAATGTACTGGTCCCCAATCAATGACGTGACCGTGGTAACTCGGGCCACTTGGTTCTATCGGTAGGTTTCTTCCTTGTGCGACCTAGAACTCACCAGCATGGCTGCTGATATCGCCTGCGTCCCAAGAGACAATATGACCCCTGTCGAGCCCAAAGTCGCAAACCAACTCGAGGCTGGCTACTGTGAGCTTCGCCCTTGGTCTGAGGTCAGTGATCGTAGCATGTCCTCGCCCTGCGCCCTCTTCAGGCTGTACGAATCATCCATGGATAGAATAGCACTGACCCACAAGTCTTCAGGCCTGGAGTATTGAGATTCGCTGCGCCATTGCGGTGGGCGCGTTGGGGGAGGAGAAAGTCAGCCAGCCTCTCTGGGGCCACCCGCCCGCTGGTACCAACGCCAACGTCGAGGACATGCTTCCTGTTGAGCCGGGCATATCTGATGATCCCTATTGTGCGGCGCGTTGCTATCGTGGTAGCGCGGCTGCTGTCGGTGTGCTCAGCCCCCATGTGGGCGAAACCACAGACACCGGCTCGACGGGCAGCTATCCAAACTGGCACGTTGTGTACAAGAACGCAACAGAAGCCAACCTACTCAAGCCAAGCCTGCGGCCGTCCGCCTACTACTCCCGTACCCCGATCTCGAGGATCATGAAGGGCGCCACTGTACGACTTCCAACGGCCCCAGGGCATTGCTTTGCTCATCCAGATCCAGCTTCATGGCTAACTAGTGTCCGTTGCAGGTCGGCATCCCTGTAGTTCGTGGGTTCAATCGGGACGCCTGGCGCCGCATTCATGAACGTCCCAGGGGCGCTAGTGGCAAGGGAGCCAGCCACCCCTTGGCCAAGGCGGTTACAACAGCTGAGGCGAGACCACAATCCAGGCCTTTGGGCCCGTCATGTACCGCCTGTGCTGCCGAGACGGAAAACTGGCGTGACCTAGTCCTCGTGATCCACGGAATCGGCCAGAAGTTCGCCGAGCGGGTCGAGAGCTTCCATTTCACGCACGCCATCAACAGCTTTCGACGGGCTGTCAACACCGAGCTCGGAAGTAACAACTACAGGGACGCCGCTGGCGGTATCATGGTGCTCCCAGTCAACTGGTACGCGCGTTAGGTTTTGGTCAACACCCACATGTGTGCCCAAGCTCACCCGCCCCGCGTTTTCCTTACTAACCTCACCCGATCTACTCCTAGGCGCCACCTCCTCTCGTTCGAGGACGGCGGGACGATGCAGCAAGGTGGTGCTGGCGCGGCAGCCGCACCAGAAAGCTTTGGTCTCAAGGATATCGAACCCAAAACCATTCCGGTTGTGCGTGGCTTGATATCAGATGTCATGTTTGATGTGAGGAACGCTACAGGGATAACGGGCAGCAGACCTCCCGTGCTGTCCGGCTCTCCCCTCTCGCGAGGCGGCAGTGGTGCCGTCGGATGAAGGGGCGTACTGACAAGGCCTCATTTGCCTTCTTTAGGTCCCTTACTATCTCTCGCATCACAAGCCACGAATGATCAAAGCCGTCACGAGGGAAGCAAATCGCATCTATCGTCTCTGGTGCAAAAACAAGTCAGCCGCTCCCACCCCGCGCTATGTCTACCACTACCCACCACAGACAAGAGCCAAGAGATTGAGCTGCTCAAACTGACACGGATCTTTGCAGCCCCGGGTTCGCTGATCAGGGCCGTGTGCACCTGATAGCTCACTCCCTCGGGAGCGTTATGGCCCTTGACATACTCTCTAATCAACCTACAATCACACCACCGCTCAGGGATCCAACCTGTGAGGCAGACCCGGATGCCCGGCATTTCGAGTTTGACTGCAAGAATCTTTTCCTGCTTGGCAGTCCGGCCGCCTTCTTCCTCCTACTGGAGCGCTCACAGTTGGTTCCGAGGGAAGGCCGCCTGAAGCCAGGCACAGATCCTGCTGATGTCACCTCCAAAGATATCGTTGGACAGCAGGGCCAGTTCGGCTGCCTTGCTGTTGATAATATCTACAACATCCTTTCCCGAGAAGATCCTGTTGCGTACTTGCTCAACAGTAGGTATATCTACATGTCATCATTTCTTGGGGATTGTTTCGTGCTGTTGGAAGGCATCCCGGTCCCCCCTTTGAGGACTATCAACTGACAGGCCTCCAGGCACAATCGACCCGGTATATGCGGCAAGTTTGAAGAAGACATTCGTACCCACCACGGCAACCTTCTTCCAGTCCATTGGCAATGGCATCAGAGGCCTGTGGGGCGGCGCACCGACCCAGCCGGGCGCGGGGACAGTGCCCAACAAACCACCGACGGTTCGGCTCCCCTCACAACTGGAGCTGGAGGTCCATGACTTCACGCGTGAAGAGGTAATTCACAAGTTGATCTTTTGGCTTTTGGTGATCATTTTGCTAATTATTACTCCTTGTCTGATATACCAGATCGCTGAAAGGAAGGCGATCCTCCTCAACGACAACGGGACGCTCGACTATTATCTTCATTCAAGTGGTGGCCCTTTGGAGATACAGTACCTGAACATGCTCCATGCCCACAGCAGCTACTGGACGAGCCCGGACCTGATACGAATGCTCTGCATGGAGATTTGCAGGAAGCCGGGGCGAGCTTACATATATGAAGGCCTGAGAGCCACAAAGGCCGCGAAGCGGCTGGTTCCAAGAACCCCTGGTTAGAGAAGGCCCGTCGCCTACAGGGGTACACAAACATACTGATAGAGAACGGCATGGATACATGGAGTTATAAACATAGAATTTTGCGCCGGTTGTCGTTTATAGACGGATATGGAAATTAGGGCGCATTGCAGGTAATCACATTAATTAGATACGTGGCCAAGTTTATAATCGAACTCTACTCATACGATAAACCCGCCATTTTGCCAATGGCTGTCTCCGATTATCCCGAATGGAGGACCGCATAACCGGGTGATGGCTAAAGATCAGTCTCGGAAGCGAGAGAGAAGTCTAGGAGATGCCAAAGGCCGGCAAGGTGGTCAATCAATGAACAGGGAGTGTGGTCTTGGCCTGAAATCCATCATTTTCCAGCAGTTGTCATCTATGATCGTGAACTCAAGCATCCAGCTCCATCATGTCTCTCTCTTCATCGTCGTCCATCTCATAGTCCTCCTCATCCGCCCGCGGCCCGTGGGCATGAGCCGCACGGCTGGGGCGGCCCTGCAGCTCACGGATCTGCCGGTTCTCTTCCTGGGCCTGGTGCCTCTTCAGGTCCTCTAGCGTCCACATGCTCACGCCCTCCTGGTCCTTGGGCCGGAAAGGCTGCGCCATCGTTTTGAGAAACTTCCTGGCGGAGCTCACGGCCATATCGGTACTGAGGTTGGTGTCGCTCTCCAAAAGGGCCTGGTTGATCCACTTTGGGAGCTGGCTGCGTTTCTTGGGAAACCTGCGGTCTGCAAGCACCATGATGCCGTAGTCATCTTTGCCTCGCAGCACGCGCCCCAGGCACTGAGCAGCATGCCGCATGGCATCAAAGGATAGGAAGTCGTTCTCCTTGATGCGGTAAGTCTCGCGCAGGAACTCCAGGCGCGCTTTCAGAATGAGAGACTCGGTATACTGGTATGGGACACCAATGCAGAGCACGGCCCTCCCATACTGATGATCAAAGTCGATGCCCTCAGACACCTTGCCACGGGCCACACAGAACATGACGGCGCCGGTGCCGTTACAGCAAGCCGTCCTGTATGTCTCCAACGCGACCGCCGTCTCCTGCGCGTCTGGAGTCTCGACAAGGATGAGCTTGTACTTCCAGACTTCTTCCAAGATGTTCATGCCCTGCCACATGCTGATGATGGACTCCATGTAGAAGTATGAGGGGAAGAACACCACCATGCCGTCCGGTGTTATCTTGGCAAATTCGGTCAGGAGGTTGCCGTAGTTGCGCACGACCGGAAGGTCCGTCCTGACGGCAAAGCTGCTCGATATGGCGGCCTGGTCGCTCCCCTTAGTGACTATCATGGGCAAGAAGGACCGGCGGCCAAGCGTCATGCTGTACGACTCCTGCACAATAGCATCAAACCCGAGCATCTTCGGGTACATTTCCAAGGGAGACAAGGTCCCGGATGTTATGATGACCGTCTTGAAGCGCTCAAACACGGGCTTGATTGCTATGGCCGCGTCCAAGCAGGTGAAGTGCAGGACGGGGTTGACCACCTTGGACTTGACCGTCTCATAAGGCTCCAGCAGCAGAAGAAAGCCTTTCTCATAGGTGGCAACGAGCGTGGCAAACGTTGCGACCTCCTGGAGCGGCTGGAAATCTTCAATGTTGGTGAGCTCTAGCGTGCGAACAAGAGAGGTCAGGCGCTCGGCGCAGAACCTGAGGGGCTTCTTCTCGATGAACGTATACTCCTTCAGGTGGGCAAGGAAAGATGGCGGGGTCTCCGAGATGACCTCCAAGACCTTGAGTCGTGTCTATGTGGTCCGAGTTAGTTGCTGCTGGCCGGTAGCACGTGGAGATAAATCCCACAGAGGGGGCCGATTCGGTGCAATTATTCGCATGGCCCTACCTTAAGGTACTCGATAAACCTCTTGAGAAACGCAACAAAGTGCTCTGCCCTCCTGATATTGCCCGGTACAGCCTCTCGGATCAGGTCGTCCGGAAGCACTTGTGAAGCAAACAAGTCAGCGTGGGGCGAAGAACAAGCAACGAAATGACGGAAAGATAGAAAAGAGGGCGCACCTGGGTTGGCCATGAAGGCGTCCTCCTGGCGTGCCTCGTCGGCGTCCCGGAGGCCCGCGACAAGCTTCTGATATTCATCCTCCAGTTGTTTCTGGTCCGTCTCTCTCATCTGCTTGATTCTGTTCTCAAGGTTCTGGGCACCTCTGGTCGCCTTCCTGAGCGAGTCCTCAGTAAGATCTGTGCTAAGCGATTCGATGCAAACATTGTCGATGTTGTGCGCTTCATCGAAAACGATGATGGAGTCTCTAGAAAGCTCCTTGGACACCCGTTCGGCAATCTTGGGATCCAGAAGATAGTGGTACGAGTAGATTATGACGTTACAGTATTGCATCTAGGCATAGGGTTAATACCCTTGTGGTGTCAGGGGGCCGTGTATGTGAGAAGATAAGGCTATTGATGGGATCTCACCATGCGCCGGGCCGTAAAATACGGGCATTGCTTGTGCTGCTCCCCGTAGCGCAGCAGGCCATCGAAGGTCCATACTCCATTGGGGATCAGGTTGTGCGGCTCAAGAAGATCGAGATTCTAATAAGGGTCAGCACAAATTCCGCAGCCATCAGGCCCACGGCTGGCTCCGAACGACAGAAAGGAAGGCGAAACATACGTCATGATATACGCAGACATCAACATCTTCACCTTTATCCTTCTTCTCCTTGATAAAGCCGGCCGTCAAGCTTCTGCATCGAGCGTCCACAACGGCACCGCTCTTTTCGCGTTTGACGGCTGGGTGTAGGCAGAGATTCTTGCGGCTAGTAAGTCCAAGCCCTCTGAAATCCTCCTCCTTGCCTAGCTGTTCCGCACGGTACTTCATCAGAGCTCTGAGTTCGGCAAGTGCCTTTTCGATCTCCGACATGGTTCCTACGTTGTGTCAGCCAGGCACTAGGCTAAACAAGGCAAGCAAGAATGGGCCATACTGACGAGAGCAGTAGATCAGCTTGCGGTGCTCTGGATTGTGCTGCTGATACGCCACGATGAGAGAGAGCAGAGTGGCGGTTTTGCCCGTGCCCGAGGGCATCTCGAGAACACAGTTTCCGCCGGCATCGAGGGTCCCTAAGCCGCGGAGGAGTCAGCCACACCGCACAGGCTGTACCAGAGGTGAAGGGACTGCTCACTCTTGAGATCGCACATATAGCTTCGGATGGTAGCATTAGTTTAGCACAACGACCGCGAAGGGACCAGAGCCGCATCCACGCATGATGGAGTGTACAGGCCACGCCCATATGGTTCGTTCACAGGGGGTCTTACGCATATTGCTCTAGTTTGTGGTTTGATGCCGAGCAGACATTATTCAGGATTTAGCCCAAGATTTCGTGTGACCAGTCTCGTACATCGCGTCCTTTCATCGGCCATGAGCGCAGCGAAAAGGATAGAGCCACACCCGGGTGCCGAGGGAGGGTAGGAAGGAAGCCAGCCTACCAGGATATATGCGAGGGTATGGGAAGATGACCGGAAGGTCACTGCCCGGCGGTGTGTCAGCGACAAATCTAGCCCGAGTACGGCCCGGGGTGATCCATGGTGTACAACGACATGCTTACTCGATATAGAAGAGCATCGTGATGGAGCCGTGGGGGCTTGGTGGCGAGGGCGGAGTTCAGGAATCAGCCATTCAACCGAGACTCGCTGGAAGCGCGCTGACGCCGCTGGCGGCTCTGCCCAGCACAAGGCAGTGATTTTCCAAAGGGCAAAGCAGCAGGGCCTTGCTGCCGTGACCGCAGCGACTAATAGACTCTCTTTGTTTGGCGGTTGTATTTGTTGCGGCTATCGTGTTGCAATGTTTCGGCGATGTCGACCGCCTCTGAGGCATAAAACCTTCCAGCTACAAAGATTGCCCGTTTGTTTGAGTTAATGCACGCGCGAGTGTCACACGAGGTCACGTGTCACAGTCGCTTAGTATGCTGAGTCAGCGCTATGAAGTCAAGCTTGACACCCCAGCAATCGAAACGAGCAGCAAGATTCAGCCACCAAGCCCTGCCTGGCTGAAAGTCGCTGACGGCCGCCCCGCCCCCCATTGTTGCCGCCCAGGCGAGATATCATGTTTCTTGTTGCCTGCTAGTACTCCCTGCAGTCCTACCCACAAGCCCACTAGTCAGTCGTCCGTGACGCCTCGCTGCTGCATAGCCTGACCCCGCCAGGCCCCTACATAGAGTTACCTACCTTAGTGCATATACAATCCCAGGCAAGTCCCCGTCGCGGGCCCGATGAATGCCTGGTCGGTTAGGCCAGGCCCGAAGCAAGACGGCAGCAGCCGCATCCAACAGCCCTCCTACCCCACCTAGTCGGCCACTTCGAGCGGCCCGGTGTAGCTTGCCATCATCATTTCACTGAAACAACGTTGCAATTGGGTCGCACAAGATGGCTCGCACGCGCCAGTTTCGTTGGGCGGGGCGTCTGTTGGCACTGTTAGTCCTTTGATGGGGCATGGATATCAACCCTTGCCTATTTTTGCTGATCCTGCCCATGCAAATGGTGGTGATGCTGGACTCAAAATGACGCTCCATGGGCCCAGAACGCCGACTAGCGTGCGTGTTATTTGTTTGCCTGCATAATGGGGGGCTTTGCATGCTAGTTGGTCCCGACCCGGTGTGTTGGGTGTTCCGTTTCTCGGTGTCTTTCGGGTGTTCTTGTGACCGATTGTGTGCGCCTTCTGCTTAACCTTCACACCCCGCTCAGCATCCGGCTCATCACGCTTGGGGCCATTGAGCCCGCGGCATCTCTTGTGCTGAGCGCATACTCGCAAGCTTGGCCTGACCCCAACTGTTTGCCTACTGTCCTTTCAGCGCGATGAAGGTAGAGGCACCACACCAGCCCTATGAGTCGCAGCCGAGCTGCAGGCTCCCATCACGGAAGGTCCGCGGAGGTCACACGTAGCAAACAATTGGGCAGTGTACCGAATTTGGCTGTGCGGCCGGAAAGTGTTCGTGGCTGGTCACGATGGACGGAAGGGCCTTGGCGTTCGAGCCTCGCCGTGCGACGCTCGGCGTCGCTCCCACCCATGGCGGCTAGGCTCGTTTTGCCGCTGCCGCTGCCGCATCCGCAACTACCGCGCAGCCGAACAAGACAATGGAGGCCATGCACCAGCTTACAGCGGGCTAGCGGCAGGTCGGCGGCGTCGAGGGAAAAGGCAGTTAGCCAACACTCCTGCATCGGTGATTAGGGCGCCTTGCAGAATCAGTCGTTTTACCCCGCGAAGACTGGCCCTAGTCATCTTTCCTGCGCTTGGGGACCAAGAGACGTGTGGGGAGGGATGGTGATCAGTCCGCAGATGGTAATCACAGCGGGCGAGGCGTAGAGATCTCCTAGCGTCTGCCCCTAGCGGCCCCGCTAACCTGGGCTCCAGGCCCAAGCCCCTTTCTGAAAATCGACGGCCGAGTTGGACCAAGTTGCCTGTTTGTCTTGTTTCTTTAATTTCCAAATAGGTCCTGATTGATTTTTGACTTGCGGTCAACCGGAAATACCCGTTGTACATAGGTACTGACTAAATCCTCAATGGTACCCGTTGGCTTTGACAGAAACGCGTCTAGTGTGCGAGGGCGGAAAAAAAGAGAAGAAAAAAAGAAAAAAAAGAAAAGAAAAAGAAAAAGAAAAAGCCTTTGCCCTCACAGGCCAAGTTACAAGGGCGGCTCCGACCAACATCAACATGGAAATGCAAAGTGGGACGGACGGTACCTAACTTACAAAATGAGCGCACAAGAACGTGATGGAACATAAACGCAAGGAAGGAAAACATCACAGCATCACACACTCGCTAGGGACGGGCAGGTACTGTAGCGTCCATCAGCCAGTCGCTGCAGTGCAGGCGTGCAGCTGCGGAGCGGGTTTCGTTCGTCCCACCCTGGACCAACGAACGTGCCTAGCACCCCGGGGAGGCTCCATGTTTGGTGTCAGCACCAACCAGGCCAGGGCGCTCCTGATGTCGAGGGCTGATGAGGAGCTAGAAACGGGAGGAAAAGGCGGGAGGATCCTGGGCTCGGACTCGGGGCCCGCCCGGTGACGATGTTCGGTCAGGTACCTTGGTGAGGGGGCGGGCTGGCTTGCGCAACTGGGGTTCAGATGCGCCACTGCGTGTCTTTGTTGCTGTACTTAGCACACACGCGAAGGTGTCCTGCACAGTTGCGGGTCCTTTCTGACCACCAATTTACCGCGCACACTCGCCGAATCACATCAGTCATCCACTCAGTAGGTGGCTGTACTTACGAGATGGACCCCACCCTCAAGGGCTTCGGAAGGACCCAGCACGTTTTTGGGTTGTTGCTTTTTCACTTTACTTTTTTTTTCCTTTTTTTTCTTCCTTGTTGCTCCCTTGTTCCCTGTTCACGTCTCACCCCAGTCGCCTAAAAAAGAACAACGAACAATCAAGCCCACTCCTCTTGGGAATCGAGTCCCCGCTAGGATGGTGATCTTCCTTGGAGACGGCCAAGTACCTGACTGATTTCCCCATCTGTCTCCCCGCTTACCCGCATCGACCTTAGCACCTGCATACGTATGTAGGTAGTAGTTTTGTTTGTTCTTATTTTACAGCATGACAGCCGTCAGCTTTGTCAAGGCCAGCCAAGGCACCACCTTCCTCGGGCTCTTAGCTCGGCAATAGATGACCGGCCCCCTTATCAGGAAACATCAACCCGGGATGCTGCAACGACCTTGGGCTACCTGCCCAGCAAAGACTTGGTCGTTGGAACATTGTGGAATTTGCGTGTAAGTCGCATCGTCAAAGACAATGCCGCTTCCTTGCACCTCCACACACCCGACGGATATCAATAGAACTCCAATTTGTATTGCAAACGCCCATAGTATGCGCTTCAGCAATTACAGTTGTGGGTGACTGCCCCGAGAAAAGGTGAGAGCGACAAGAACGGCGTCGGTGGACCGCCCAGGTGCAGTAACAAGGCGGAGGTAATCACCAGAAATCACCATATGCCCCCAGTTTGGGCCTTAGCCGACATGTCTGGTACTTGTGTTTTCAAAGCCTTCTTGCCTTCCTATGTCCATTGACCAACAGGAAACCCCATGGGTTGAATAGTGGTCGCAGCAGTAACAGACAAGGCCACCAAGGATGCACCAGCCAGGCCAGTGCCGTTGGCATTGCATTCTCTGCTGCATTCACCCACAGCCTGCCTCGGCCCCCGTCTCCGCTGCTGTTGCTCCTCCTCCTCCTCTTTGGGCATTCTCGGTCCCGTCTCCGCCCGACCATCAGCTCGCTCGCATCCACATGGGAAATACACACGCGCAAGACATGTCGTCGTTACTACAGTTTTTTCTCTCTTTGTTCCCCTCTCACTTCCTTCTCTGTAACCCTGCGTGGTACCTCCTTTTCGCATCCTTCATGGTCAAAATCCCGCCCGCAAACGGATTCAACGGTACTCTCGGCTGCTTATTTACATCTGCAGCACGCGACCTGTCGGGTTGGGCTATTTCTGCTGCACTGCTTATTGCCATGGCTGGCCTGACTGCAGCCGACCCTGCTCAATGTATAAGCTACTGCTGTACCCACCATGTCGATGATGTGCGGACGGCTCCGGTCCCCTGCCGCGCCATGTACCCGCCCGTCCATGTATGTACACCCACCCACTCATCCATCCGCCCCCCTAGGCAGAACTGTGTGTTCTGCACCCGGGGCGGACATGGGTAAGTCTTGGGTCCGTCCTCTGCAAATTCGGTCTGCCTCGGACATGAAGATGCATCGCTGTCTAGAAACCGGGCTACCGCACCCTGGCTCATGTCTCCGCAAGCACCTCGTTCTGCCTCGCTCTAGTTGGCAACGTGGGATGTGGGTGCCCCTGACAGCCACCCCCGACCTACGCCAACCAGGCCGATTTCGTCCTAGCACTCGCCGGCTCACACCCCTCCTTCCCCCTTTTAACATCCTCCTCCTGGTCTTGCAGCCCCAGAAAAGCTCGGCTTTGTGCTGCCTACCGATAATCCTCGGGGCGATCCTATGCATTTATATGATACCTGGGCAGCCAAACAGCCGCCTTCCGGCCCTCCTATACTATAACACTCCTTACACCCGCACCCTACCCCTCGCGCTCGGTTGTATCTTGAGTCTTCCAAATCCATTCGAGGAGCGATCACGCCAACCGCACGTCGTAACACAGATGCGCCAGACACATCGAGTCTGATAGCACCTTGGGGGCCGCTGACCAAACGAGCCATAGCCTCTCCAGCCATCTGACACTCGCGGGGCACACCCATCTTTTCTGGCCTGCGCCTGTCATCTTGACTACTCACTCCTTTTCCCGCACGCAAATCACAAATCAAAGAGGCGTATACCTGCTGCCCGCCTGCCCCCTCCTTGAAACCACATTTCTGCACCCCCTTTCTACATATATAGGTCCTCTGCTTCGCTGTGCACGGCGGCCACGAGGACCCAGGACCGGACAGGCCCTCGAGACGTCTCAGTCATGGACTCTACGCCCCCTCTCACCAGATCTCCCGCATCTCCGCCGAACTCATATTCCTCCTCGGCCGGCTATCCGTCCCCTGATCTAGTGGCTCAGCACTACCGGCTGTCAGCGATCGAACCCGCGTGCTCCATGGCGCCGCCGCTGGACCCAGACAGCGCCGTGCCCCCCTTGGAGAACATGGGCCAATCCGCATGGGCCCACAACAGCATGCTGCATTCGCCTTCGACCGGCGCGACAATGCCCAGCATCGTCTCCTCCGAGTACAATGGGTTTGTGACTTACGACAACGGCTCCGTCCCAGGCGCCCATGCGTACGGCGGCCATCAGGAGGTCTATGGCTCCCATGGCCACCACCATCACCAACACCAGCACCACCATCACCATCACCAGCACCTAGAGCCAGCCATGTCAAGCCACTCGTCTCCCCGGCCGTCCTCGACATCGCCCGGAATGCCACCAGCGCGGGGCGCGATGACGTTCCAGCCCGTTGTGCCGCTATCACAGCCGCTCACGCCTCGCATCAAGATGGAGGCCGCTCAGCCAGATTACGTGCATGGAGCGGACTACCCGTCACCAAGATCGATCCACGTGCCCTACTCGTCCGAGGTGGGCAGCTATTCGGCCGCCCCCAGCTCCGGCTATCTCTCCGACACACAGTCGTCGGCCTGGAGCAAGGACTATAGCCACTCGGCCGAACCCGACTCCTTCTACTCGGTTGCCAGCGGCCAGGCCATCGGTATCATGGGTGGCGACAGACGCGCAGCCCACATGCGGGCTCAGCGCCCGCGCGTGCGGAAGCGGCTGACTACCAAGGAGGAGGCCAACTTCCAATGCGAGGTCAAGGGGTGTGAGAAACTCTTCAGCAGGAGCTACAACTTCAAGGCCCACATGGAGACGCACGATTCGAACAGGGAGTACCCGTTCCCGTGCGGCGAGTGTAGCAAGAAGTTTGTTCGCAAGACGGACCTGCAGAGGCATCACCAGAGTGTCCACATGAAGGAGCGGAACCACAAGTGCGATTTCTGCGGGCGTCTCTTTGCGCGAAAGGACACACTACGGAGGTGAGATCGACCCCGGACGAACATCAAATGACAGCTGCGCACGGCGAGCCACGGCAAGTGACGGCACCACTGACGCTTGGACATGTAGGCACATGGAAGACGGGTGCTCCAGGAGATTCGACATCACCCTGCCCCCAATGTCGATTCCTTCGATGGGTAACGGCCCCATGCTCGATACCTCGTCGGCCAGCCTGAGGGCCAGGGACACTCTTCAGAACGGCGAGGGCAACCCCGATGATCCTGGGGTTGCCAGGTTTCGACAAGGCTGGGGACTTGTATGAGGAAAACTCGGCCCCTGTCATGATGCTAGCTGTGATTTTAAGCGTGGTGTTTTTCCCGGCGGCCTCTGTTCTTTTTTTTACCACGCACTACGCGGTCTGGCGGTGGCAATCCTCGTTATCTGTTTGTACCAATACTGTCTTGTATGCTTGACTGTCTGTCGGCTTTTTTCTTTCTTTCTCTTGTTCGCTGCAGGTATTACACTCGAGATCCTGCCTAGTGCTTCATTTTGTCCTTGGTCTTTTCTTCTTCATTTTCACGCCAGTTGGCATTCTGCCCTTTGGTTATTTCGTCCACTTAGGAGTCACAGTCTCCTTTGTGAGCTCATCACACTCCAAGGCCATGTTTGCGCCTTTCTACCTGTACCCTACAACTTAGATATATCATTAAAAGTACGGCGGCGGCCTGCTCTTTGGAACATGCGAAGAGAGACCAAATATATCGCAAGCACACCTCGAATTAAACACCTGCATACGAACCCACTCCTCCGAACATACCACTGCTCAGCTCCTGGGTCTTGCGTAGCCACCTCTCGGAAGGGGTTGATGGGACGCACGGCAGCAAAAACCCGAGTCGAGTTACCGGTTGACACCAACGTCCCATGTAACACTACTCAACGCCTCGATATTTTCTCGAGGCAGAGCCGCCGCCTGATCAGCGCATCACCCCCTTTCACTCTCCCCCACACCGATTTCCTCCAAGTCGCCAGACTCTCATTTGCAGTCCACGCACATTGCAAGCTTACTGACTGCCTAGTTAGACCTAGAGAAGGAACAGCCGCGTGGCAACAACCCACCGACAACGACTGCTGCGTGCAATGCGACGCTGCATATAGATATCGGCTACCAGTGGAGGATCGGAGGCTTGATTAACACCCAGGGATTGCCATCCTTCCAGGCAAATCGGCGATGATGGTCTACGCAATGCCAACTGGGAAAACAGGCGATGGGTGCTGCATCTCGACATCACATTATGAAAGCTTTATGTCTGCACTGTTGGTCCGTTGTTCGTCAAGAGCGGCAGCGGAGACGAAGCGCTAGTGGATTCAACGCCACTATCACTCCCCGCACACACTATCTCCGTCTCTTTTTTTCTTTTTTTCTCTCTCGTTCTTTTTTCACACACACAAACCCCCCTGCCTCTTGGCGTGGCCGACAACTGCAGCACCCGCATGACCAGATCTCCCGGGAGCGATGATTGGACAATACACGCGAGCTACCATCTCCCAAAGGTGATCCTTGTGCTCCCACACACCCCTTTCGGAAAGATGTGGGCAGTCGCCCGAGGTGCAGATGCGGGCCATGTCGACTTGGTTGCAGCAGCGGACAGATCCAGGCCCCTCCTTGGGGCTGTGCTGCTTGCTGCATGTAATCACGCTCATCAACCTAGGTAGAGGGCTATTTGCGAGCCTGCCTAACACACAGGTACCTCTTGTACTTGGAAGGATGGCAGCCGTGATTGCAGCATAGCTGGGTTGTCCCTGGGTCCAAAAATGGGGGTGGGGTGGCACTGCGTTGGCGCCAGAAAGTGCTACACATGGTGTAGATTACAGGCAGGAATGAAGCGCATATGCGCACACACACACTATCGAATGCCCGTTGAGCCGGGGCGGAATGCGCATAGCTACCTAGATGAGTGGAAGTATCGAGTCGGGCGGCCAACAACTCGAGGAGCGTCGCCAAGGACCAGACGCCAGTCAGCCAGTCGTGGTGGCCGCCAGCCACCATGCAGGCGGTGGTGCCGATGTGCCCTCAGTACGTGATGCCCGAGCCGATTCGATAGTCTGGTGCCGATAAGCAAGGCACCCTCACCATCGGCTGCAGGTTGGTCTTTGGATTCTGCAAGGCGCTCCACAGGGCCAAGGATTAGGATGGAGTGGCTGCGCAAGCGCGGGTTGCGGGTTTTGTGTCACGTCTCCCTCGCGACTGCATCCCTGACCCAGAACCTCTAGTCCAGACCGCCTGCCCGCCCGACACTAAGCCCCCTCCCGCGCCGACTTGGACCGGTAAGTGCGTGGGTGGTGGTGGTGGTGGTGTGTGTCGGCCGCCCGCCGAGGCGGCGTGGGTAGGCGAGGTGGTACCTTGCCTCCTCCCTGCTGTTGTTGTCAACGGGGGGCAAGTGGCGGCTCGATCCACCCTAGGGATTGAACCGAGATGGGGGCGCACTTGTCGCCGTAATGGATCGAGATGGATCCATGTCTTTTTGGAACACTGGGCCCGCGGCTGTTCTAGACGCCCAGCCGGTAAAGTTCCCAACCAAAAGTACGCCCACCCCACGATGTTTTACACCAAAACACTACCTTTTGCAGCCCCGAAAATAAATAGCAATAAAAATGCTATAACTACAAAATTTAATTATATAATCCGGGGTTATAAAAGCTATTTTTTTATATATATTCTTTTTTTATTAAACGCATAGTTAGGAAGTATTTACGCGTTAAAGTAACCTCTTTTTATTTTTAATTTCTTTTAGTGGGGTGGTCCGCTAAAGGTACGCTGGAACATCCGCTAAAAAAAACAAAACCAAAAAGATTGTATTTAAACCGGAATAACTTGGGCAAATAAGCATGCAATAAAATAAGGTACCCTGGAAAATAAATATAAAGTTAAAATCTTTTTATAATAAATTTTTGGTTGCGTTCCAATTTTTCTTTCCTTTTTTTTAGCAGTTCCAAAAGGTAGTGTTTTAGCTTGCAATGGCGTAGGTGGGCAAACTTTTGACCACCAATTGTAGGTAGGTACGTACCTGCTCCTTACTATTTCCAGTGACCGAGGCCCTGGCAGCAGGCTAGGCTCTCCTATTGGGTCGCATTCTGTCGTCGTGCCCGGTCTCACTGTAGGGTGTTGTCAGCTTATCTCAATCTTCCACGCCCCGCCGACCTAGAGGTACCGACCTACCGACCTACCTACCTCCTCACTGACAATTACCGCAAATCATCATAGGATCTCACCATGATATGCTCCCAACCTGGCAAGGCGCCGCCGACTCTCGGATATTTACTTGGGCCACCTATCGACCAGCCACGAAAGGATGTAGGCTACGTTCGCTCCGATCGATGGCGTCGTCGGGTAACATAACGTGCTTCGCGATTCTCACCCCCCC